AATCATAAATTTTATGTCATAAGGAACAAAATAAAACTTGGTTTTTAAAATACTAAAAAAATAATTTTGATATAAAGAATGGAATTTTTGAAAAACCTGTCACTGCTTTGTATTAAATTCCCAATGTAAAGTCTGCCTAAAAATGAATTAGTATGAATTTTAACCAAATTTTAATTGTGTATGTTGTTCTCATTTGTCTCTTTGAGGATGTAATACCAGAGGAAACTGACCATTCCTCCGCCGAAATGTCAGACTCATCTCCCGGGGAAATAAGGCGAGAAAAGTGGAAAGAGTAAGTAAATAGTACCAGAAATTTAGACCTCTTTAATACTACGTAATAATCTTCAGAATGCTAGACATTGAGCCTTCAGAGCATGTCCGTAAAAAGAAAGATTGGCACAAGTGGAAGCCAAGAAAGAAAAGGCGTCGTCGTGGACGTAATTCAACTGCTTGTGGAAAGCCCTACAATTCTATCCTTATTCTTATGCCGCTAGTGCTGAATTTGTGTCTTTAAAATAAACTTAAACTATTAAAAGACTCACCTCAGTAGCTTCACGCGCTGATCGAAGAGCTGTAGCTGCTCGTCGGGCTGCGACTCCCACATGGCCAGGATCTTGTTGTCGATCAGCGTGGCGAACATTTGAGATTCAAGGAAGCGCGAGAGGAAGGCGCGATGATGCTCCGGCTGATCGGAGAGGAACGAGGATTTGTCAAAGTTCTGCAGCGTCTCCCGATTCGAGATCCATTCATCGCGCGCCTGATTCGGGTAGATCACAAAGTATTCGTAGGCGTGGAACATGTGCACGAATCGATTGAGAAAGATCTCGCGCACCGAGTTGTTGATGCGCAGATCCTGGTAGTACTGATCCACAGGCGTCAGCTTCTGTTTCTCCACGCGCCGCGCACTCACTGGCATGGTGGCGTCCACAGCGTCCACGTCGTGGTAGATGCCAACGGGCGAGGAGGATAGCGAGACTGTGGGACTGCCCACCGGGGAGCCAGCTCCCCGAATGCCACCCTTCCGGCGCAGAAAGTCAGCGATGCGCGGCACATGGTCGATTCGCGAGGGATGCGCTATCAGCGGTTGGTAGTCCACGACCCCGCCGCCGCCTGGCGATCCCGACAGCGTGTAGACGGTCTCCTGCAGCTGCTGAAAGCGCTCCTTGCTGCGACGAACTGCCTGCAAACCGGTGGGCAGGGTGCAGCTGGAGATCATGGCATCCACGCCACCTGATCCGCCACTTCCGGAGCCTCCAACGCCACCGCCGGCTGCCCTGTTCACATAGCCATTACGAAAACTAGGCTCTTGATCGCGATCTCTATCAATCTCGAACTTATCCAGCACGGAGCCAATCTCGGCCATAAAATCCATCTTGTGTGGGAAGACTGGTAGCTCCTCGGGCAGCTGGATGTGCTTCTTGTCAATGTCCACAAAGCACAAGGTAGCCTCGCTGCCAATCTTGTGCGCCGCCTCGCATTCGGCATGCAGTCCCATCACAAAGGGCACCGGGGCATCCAAAAAGTGATGCAGTGCAGCGGGCAGAATAGGAGCATAAACATGCGGCCAAACGAAGGGGAACAGCAGCGAGGTAATGCACTCGCCCACGATCATGAGTCTTTGGTAGTCTGTAGGGGAAATAAGGGATTATTTGTAGGATATTCCCTTTGCCATTCCTTACCTGTGGACCGCAGCAGAACTTGATTTTCGAGAAGGACGCACGTCAGCAGCTGTATGACACACTCCACGCCCAGGTACTTGAAGAGCAGCCGTAGGGGAAAGTCGAGAAGCGGCAGCTCGGTGGCCAAAAGCGGTCGCTGAAGGATCAGGGCGATCGCAGGCAGATGCGGCTCCGTGGGCGGCAGGTAAACGCGGATGGACTTGCCCGGTTGCGGCAGCATAACCTCGTAGAGAATGTTGTACACGTAGGACTCCAAGCTTATGCCAGCACCAGGCTGTCGAGGAAGACATCTGGATTAAAAGAATAAATGGGTTTTAGTACAGGAATTCACTGAAACCTCATTAAGATCCTACAAACCTATATAGATTCTTGAGAAACATCTGGGCGGCAAAGGCGTAGGGAGCCTGACAGATCAGCGTGATGCTCTTGGCCACATACAGCTTGTCCTTGTTGATGTCGTAGTAGCTTTGTGCGGACTGCGGCGCCTGGCCGGCCACCTTGAAGTGTCTGGGCAGCGAGCGACTGACCGGACCATCCTGCTTCACCCGGCTGAGCGAGTGCGTCTGCTGGCCATTCGACAGCTCCGTGATGAACATGCTCTGCAGCGTGTGAATGGCCCCGCAGATGTTACGATTGCGTATCTCCTCGTAGAACACCAGGCTGAATCCATAGCAGCGCTTGCCATCTTCCCGAGTCGTCGCAAACGAATGGAATCTGGGCTCGATGTTGTGTTTCTGGGTGCGGAACCGCAGACCCTGTGGCAGGGAGAGCTGTGGAAGAAACAGAGGAGAAAGGGTGACTACTCGGATCTCAAGTGGCGGGCATAAATAAAATCCATTCATTCGAACACACATGGCCAGATGCCCGAGATAAGAGGGTTTATCGATGGGGCTACGCGGCCGTATTCGTGGCATCAATTAGAAGTGCTCCGCTCTTCACTCCACTCTGTACTATCAATGAGCTGGCTAGCCAAGCATGAATTTCCACCGAAAGGGCAGCCAATTGAGCTCAATTAGACATGAATATGGATTAGGGTGGGTCGGTTGTTGGCGTGTGGAGCTATAGGTAGTATCTTATATAGGGATTTTATATAAAAATATTAGGAAAATAATAATGTAAACTATTTACTAATAAATGTTTTTAAAAAACCTAAAAAAAAATTAAATTTTTTAAACGAAAATGATTGAAATCTAATATAGAGATTTTATATGCAAGTATTAAGAAAATAAATTTGTAAGCTATTTTAAAATATTTCAAAAACCTAATAAAAATTCAATTTTAAAACATAAATGATTGAAATCGGGATTTAATTTAAAAATATTAAAAAAAATAAATAATAAGCTATTTTTACCAATAAAATATTTCAAAAAAACTAATAAAAATGAAATTTTAAAATAGAATTAATAAAAATCTTTAAGATTAAAGTAAACGGCAATGACCTCTTATAAAGTCTGGTATAATACAATGACCTGATTCCATTGACACGTATTTATCCATCATCTTTTGACCTAAAAACACACATTGTCCATCAAAATATGTGTTTTTTGGGCTCATAACCATTATACATATATTCCTGACCCTATCAACCGACCCACCCTAACAAAGTTGGCGGGGAATGACTCGAAATGGACTCTGGATTTACCATGCAAATGCCATGAGCATCGAAGGGGTTCCAGGGCACATTTTCGGGATAGTGGGCCAGTGGTTTGCTCTTGTAGGCGCGGTCCAGAGGCGAGCAGTGCAGGTTGTCTCCTGGGAGGGGCAACATGGGAATTAAAAAATTCAATTCCCCAGGGGAAATCTCGGCCAGAAACTCACCCGCAAAGCGATCCGGCTCTAGGCCCGTGTCCAGATCCAGTCCGCATATCACAAAGTAGTCGGCGAAGCGCGAGAACTGCGGATCGGCATCCCGCTTGAGTTGGTTCAGCTCCGACTGAGATTGGGACTGCTCCGTGGGCGAGGTGGGTGACTGGGCAGGAGGCACCTGGTTGTTGGAGGAGCTACTGCCATTTCCACTACCATTTCCACTTCCACTACTCAACATCAACTTGGACAGGCGACTGGTAACCACATTCTCCCGCGTTGTCATCGCTCCTGGTCGTCGTCCTCCTCCTCCTCCTCCACCGCCTTTACTCTTCTCTCTTCTTTGTCTTCAATCCGCCAAATGGGACATCAAACAAAAAGCACCGAGTCCATGTGTGTGCGTGTGCTGCTCGTGTGTGTATACATGTACCGTTATGCGCTCGCGATTTCGTGCACTTTCCAATTTACACAACCAATCAATTTCCGTCTGCAAAAAAAGAGAAATACATACGTTTTTTGGGCACAACAACAAACCAAGTGCTATTTTTACTTGTTTGTTTTATTTTTACACTTTCGTCGAGAGAGAGTGTGTGTGTGGGAAGAAGAGTGTATGCAAAATTTTCTATGCCAATGTCGTTTGCCTACGTCCACCACCAACAACAAAAACACTCTCCCCCACTTCTTTTCCCACCCCCACCACTCTTCTTCTTGCACTCCTTTGGGTTTTAAGCTGCCTTCGTCACGGGCTCAGAAACTGGGTTAAACTAAAGTCTTTGTTTGGTTTTGAATTTGAACCTACCAACAAACAGCACTCAGCAGCTGGGCAAATAAACAGCGTGGAGTAGAGGAGCTCAACTTTTTTTTGGCGAGCGAAAACAAACTACTTTTGTTTAGTGGTGGAAAAATATCGATGTGATTTTCGATACCCAATAATTTTGATACATTTTGGAGTCATCGATGATGGGCCTTTGTAGCCTGTTCACACGGTGGGGTTATAAGGAACTCAGAAAATGATCACATCGTGAAAGATATTAATATTTTTAGGGAATGACCAATTTGTGGAAACTCATTGTTGGCATTGGTTTTTATTACATTTTTTCTTGACCAATTTGCTCTTCACAAAAATCCATTCCGAAAACATTCAATGCTATTGCTTAAATTGTATTCAGTTTTTCTTTGTTCTCCATTTTCTTTCGAAAAAAAACTCAATTTTCACGTTCTTTCCCGTCGGCTACGGTTTGCTTATGCTTATTATGAACACGATTTATTAAAGTTATTAAATTTTACATTTCTTAATTCAAATACAATTTTATATATTAACCAGAAGTAATGGGAAACTTAAAGTAAACGGTTACAAATATATTAAAATATTAAAACTGATTTTAAAAAATACCATAAAACGTGGTTCGTAAAATACCGCAACAGGGTGACTATGACCCTGGAACCAGTTCCCCAGCGAGGGAGTTGGGGTGCGGAGCCAGCAGGCAGCCAGCGCGGAACCAGTTCGCAAACAGTTCGGAACCGGATCGCGACCTGACGTGAAAAAGTGTATCACATCACATAACATTTTTCGTATTAAATTGGAACGTAAATTGTGTGCCCGCGACGAGACAGGAGTTTTCACCGAGGCAAACCGAGTGCCGAGGAGTGGCGCCAGGAGTGAAGGCCAGGGAGAAGTACTCCTAGATCGAATAAATCCAAATCGAACGAACAACCCCCTTAAAAAAAGTCCCCCGCATGCAATTCTGATTGATTGAGAGCACGAGACCACGAGATCGAGATGCACTCGTCACTCAACTGGACCTCGCGCCTGATCTCGCGCGCCCTGCGCAGCAGCTTCTCCACGCTCCTGGAGACGGCCACTGGCGGAGGAGGGGCAGCTACCAAATCCGGAGGAGCAGGAGCAGCAGGAGCATCCAGCAGACCCCGTTTCGTTTCGGTGGTCTGCGGCTTCGCCAAGGACAACCTGCGACACAAGTACAAGCCGGGCAAATACGGCGAGGACTCCTGGTTCAAGGCCTCCACCGCCAGCGCGGATGTAATGGGCGTGGCCGACGGAGTGGGCGGCTGGCGGAGCTATGGCATCGATCCCGGGGAGTTCTCCTCCTTCCTCATGCGCACCTGCGAGCGGCTGGTGCAGTGCAGCCACTTCAATCCCCAGCGACCCGTCAACCTGCTGGCCTACAGCTACTGCGAGCTGATGGAGCAAAAGAAGCCCATCCTGGGCAGCAGCACAGCCTGCGTGCTGATCCTCAACCGGGAGACGAGCACCGTGCACACGGCCAACATCGGCGACAGCGGGTTTATGGTGGTGCGGCAGGGTCAGGTGGTGCACAAGTCGGAGGAGCAGCAGCACTACTTCAACACACCCTTCCAGCTTTCGCTGCCACCGCCAGGACACGGGCCCAATGTGCTGAGCGACAGCCCCGAATCGGCGGACACCATGAGCTTCCCGGTGCGCGATGGCGATGTTATACTCATCGCCACCGATGGAGTATTCGATAATGTTCCGGAGGATCTGATGCTGCAGGTGCTCAGCGAGGTGGAGGGCGAACGGGATCCCGTCAAGCTGCAGATGACGGCCAACAGCCTGGCGCTAATGGCCCGCACGCTGTCCTTAAACAGCGAGTTCCTCTCGCCCTTTGCACTCAGCGCTCGGAGGAATAACATCCAGGCGCGGGGCGGCAAGCCGGACGACATCACCGTCGTCCTGGCCACCGTGGCCATGTGAGGTGGTCAGCCATCCTCCCCTAGTGATTAACGTTTACTTGTAGTCCGTACGTGTTTAGTTAGCTTTAGGAGCCTGTTCCCTGGTTCTGTCTACCGTTTAAGCTGCATGTTGAGATTGAGAAGATGAGAGGACGACGCAGTGACCCCCCTTTGAATTGTTAGTTACATATATAAACGAGCAAACTCATTTTCGAACAACCGACGCATCCTGATTGTATACATAACCCTCGCTATAAGTAGAGAAATGCGAACTATCTGCTAATCAACCACAAACAATAAACAAAAAACAAGCGATTGCGAAACAAACTTCGAAGCCGAGAATCCGGAAAACGAATTGCGACGAGTGCAGCTATCTGACTGAGGACTAGGATTAGCCGGGATTGAACCCAGGCCAACGAACTGTCTTTAAAAAAAAAATTTTGTCGAAATGTACTCACTGATATTTGCGACCCAATAAAAATTATTCATTGAAAATCAACAACGAATGCGAAAGTCATTTCGAGATAAATTCATTAAACCAATAAATATATAAAAACAATAAAAAATGTACGGAAAACTTAAATAGAACGCTTTAATTGCTTAGATTAGCTCAGGGCCAGAAAGATGTAAATTAATAGATACAGCAGCGGTCAGGTTGATAACACTCGGGGGTCGGTGTTACAATCTATTCACTATAAAAGTATAGGGAGTATTAGATTTTAAATTATAAAACCTCTCAAAAGTTATTTGAGTTTCTTATCTGCAAGAAATCGATTGCGCTTCTGTGACGCAGGCTTAGCTATATGTATTAAATCAATAATATAACACATTTTATATGGAACGCATCTTTCTAATTGGCAAGATTAGCGACAGGTCAAAAAATATGTAAATATATAATTACAATCGAGGGCAATGGAAAATGATTTATTAAATTAAATATTATTCTTTAATATTGAGGGAAAAAAACTGCATAAATGCTGTGTCTAGTAACGAAGGCATCATTAGGAAATAAAAAAGGTTGAAAATTTAATAATTTTTTTTCATAAAAAAAATAAATTATAATATATGGGAACCATTAATAATAGTTACAAAATAATTTAAAATGGAATCTTATAGCATTTAATAAAATCATTTAATGATTTATAAACTGCGTAATTAAATTATCAAAAATAATATTTAGTATTTAATATTACGGTACACCGAATTTCACTAGTGGTATTTTTTGAGAGTTGAAATACCAAAAAATATACCAAACAATCCGTGAAGTGCCATCACTATGCAGATAAGGAATCAAAACAAAAGGCGAAAAAAGTAGAATTTTTATATTTTCAGCAAGCAAAATGGGGAAAATTGTTTAAGGAATTAAATAAATAATTGTTCGCTGGTTTTGCAACCAAAAAACCGAGTCAACATGAAGCTGTACAAGCTGAACACACACACGCGCGGATGCAACAAATCCTATGGTGAGTAAAGAGGTGGAATATTGCGCAAACAATATTGTTACATGGATTTTACAGATGCGGATTTGGTGATGAACCTAAAGGATCACCCCAATGCCAATGTGGGCGATGTGGTGGAGATCTATGCGCCCGACGAGGAGAACGGCACCCATCTGCTGCTCCAGATCACCGAGTTCAATGGGAGCTGCGGTCGGGATGTGATCAGCATTGAATCAGGGATCGCGAATGCGTTTAAGATGCGTCCATATTCCAATGTGGTGATGCGCATTGTGAACCCGGCGGATGTGGCCCTGGACTCCATAGAGATCACCTTCAAGGATCAGTACATGGGTCGCTCGGAAATGTGGCGCCTAAAGACCTATTTGGTAAGGAAATACATAAGTTTCTGGGCAGGATCTGCTCTAAATGAACTTCTCCTCCCTTTCAGACCGACACCTGTGTGTATGTGAACAAGAAGATTGACTACAACGACATGCAAATCCGCTGCCAGGTGTACGAGATGTGGTCGCAGGGCGAGCGCGTGGCCAGCGGCGTCATCACGGAGGACACGAAGATCGTCTTTCGCAGCAGCACTTCGATGGTTTATCTCTTCCTGCAGATGTCCTCCGAGATGTGGGACTTTGACATCCACGGAGATTTGTATTTCGAGAAGGCTGTCAATGGTTTTCTGACTGAACTGTTCCAGAAATGGAGGAAATTGAGCTGCAATCACGAGGTGACCATCGTGCTCTTCTCCCGCACCTTCTATGCGGCCAAATCCCTGGATGAGTTCCCCGAACACATGCGCGACTGCCTGCAGCAGGACTACAAGGGTCGCTTCTACGAGGATTTCTACCGCGTGGCCATTCAAAACGAAAGATGCGACGATTGGTGCACTGTTCTTGGGCAGCTGCGCAAGCTATTCACCTCTTATCAGGTGGGTTTACCTTTTGTAAGGCTTCTTATGCTAGTAACCTTACTCTTTAATCAACAGGCCACCGTGTTGCGCTATCACGAAAGGGAAAACATGAAGATCCCGCCGGCCACCAATTCCTCTGCCACTCAGGGCAACTTTCTGGAGGTTCTAAACATCTCGCTAAACACCTTTGAGAAGCACTACTTGGATAGAACCTTTGATCGCACTGGACAGCTCTCTGTGGTCATTACACCCGGAGTGGGAGTCTTCTCTGTGGATCGCGAGCTGACCAACATCACCAAGCAGCGCATTATCGACAATGGAGTGGGCAGCGATCTGGTCTGCGTGGGCGAGCAGCCTTTGCATGCGGTTCCTTTACTGAAATTCCACAACAAGGACACTACTTTGACCTCCGCTGATGATTATTCCCTGCCCCACTGGATCAACCTGAGTTTCTACTCCACCAACAAGAAGATAGCTTACTCCAGCTTTATACCGCGGATTAAGCTGCCTCTTTTTGGCTCCCAAGTGACGCTCCACGATGTGGTTGTGGGCGAGGGGGAGGGCGAGGAGAACGAGCGTCACTTCCTCAGCTGCAATCAGTCGGAGTACAAGCACAATTCGCTGTTTGATTACGATGCGTATGACGAGCAGATCTTCCAGCCGCTGCCGGCTCAAAGTACTTGGTGGGATTGTTATTCTTACTATGAAGGTTTTCATTCTATAATGTATGTTTGTCTTCTCCCAGCTCCCTGCAGCGCATAGTGCGTGCCAAGAAGACTTCGGTGCCTAGTTTGGAGACCTATGCCTATAGAAACAACGACTGGGAGAACCTCACGCCCACTCAAATACCTTCTATGCGTCGCAAGATGTCCGATCCAGACATTCACCATGGAACCTCTGCAATGCTGGCGGCGTTGGTTAGTGATTTACATATACTCCACTCTATCCCAGATCTTCCTAACTCTTACCCTTCTATTTTAAGCAACCCGATACCACGAATCTCTCCGAGTCGCTGGCTTCCGAGAAGAACTCCCGTCGCACGATCGTCAGCATTGCGCCCATTGTGCGTCCTGGTCGCGCGCTCATCAATCCCTTTGATCCCTCGCAAGTGACCATCAAGCTGACCTCCAATCGCCGCCGCTGGACGCACATCTTTCCCAAGGGTCCAACGGGAGTGCTCATACAGCAGCATCACTACCAAGCGGTGCCGGCGAAAACGGGTCAGCAGCGGCCACTGCAGCAGATCCAGAATAATAGCCAATCTGGGAGCAACAACAACAATGAGCAGGAGGATTATGGATGCGAGAATGGCGAGCAGTACGACCGAGTGTCCAGCCATTCGCTGCTCAGCAAGTCGGCCTCCTCGCAGAGCTTTGTGATGGGCGATGAGAAAATTGATTGTGAGTTAGAGCCCTGCATTCAATGAATTACACTGGTCGACAAAAAAAAAGCCCAAGAATAAAAGCTACCAAACCTGAAAGGATTTTAGCTGTAGAGAACTACCTCATACTTGGAAACTTTCCATCACGTCGAAGTTTTGAGAAATCCGTGGTCAAAGTTCAAAATTTTCGATTTTTAGGCACTTTTTGCGGCTTAATAGCAAATTTAGCGGAAAAGGTACTTTGAACCTTTAATTTCAAGATTGCCCAATCACAAAGTTGGGCGTCCTCTACTTCATTAGCTACAATGGATTTTACTGAAGTACTTTTTGTAACTTTTTTTCATCTATAGTAGCCTGATATTTTTAATGTATTGTATGTGTACGGGTCTCAGTTCAACAAGGAAAATATCAGGCTACTATAGATGAAAAAAAGTGACAAAAAGTACTTCTGTAAAATCGATTGTAGCTAAAGAAATAGAGGTCGCCCAGCTTTGTGATTGGACACTCTTGAAGTTAAAGGTTCAAGGTACCAGTTCCTCTAAATTGTGGCTCTGGGCTACGAAAGGTTTTTTTTACTATTAAGCCGCAAAAAGTGCCTAAAAATCGAAAATTTGGAACTTTGACCACGGATTTCTAAAAACTTCGACGTGTTGGAAAGTTTCCAAGGATGAGGTAGTAATCTACAGCTATAATTCTTTCAGGTTTTGTAGCGTTTATTCTTGGGCCAAGAAAAAGTCTTGATTTTGTCGACCTGTGTTATTTAAAATTTTTTTTTTATGTAAATGAATTAATTAGAATTTTGATTTTAATTGAATTGAATGAATGAATGGTATGAATTCCGAAATAATTCAAACGACAATTTCTTTTGAAGAAGAAAGGTCCATAATTTTGTGATTAAATTTGCATGAATTTTATTTGCTAAGCAGTTAACATTGATTTGTTAAAAATGTTCCACTTTTTGTTCTCGAAAAAAGCACAAAAAAAATGTGGCAAATTCAAAAATTCATAAAAATTATTTATTCATTTATTCAATTCGAAATGAATTAGAAAAATATTCAATTTATTTCACATAGAATTGAATTAAACAAATCAGAAATTTCATGGCATACTATGATAAAACAAAAATGGAATAATTCAAAGTTTAGACCTTCTACATTTACATTATTTTATATCTTTAGTCTTCAAGCGCCGTCAAAACTCACTGATGAACGCTTTGCCCGCCAATGTGCCCAACCTAACGGCCACCCAGGCGAAATCCTATCTCTGGGGAGCCACCGGGGAGCAGGAGTGGACGCCAGCAATTACCACGGGTAAGTGTTGGTCAAACAGTTGTGGGTTTTCTATATTTTAGAGGGGCACCGGTTGAGATGTCAGTAGGAAAGTGAATTCCAAGCGGAAATGTATCTCCAGTTCCTGCTTCTAACGCTCTTTTTGGGCTATCAAATCGAAGCCAAGGAAAGCTTTGTCAGGCCCTCGCATCTCGCACACTTTCTGGACAGGATTGGACGAGTGCATCGCCTACATGCCATCACCATAGTCCACAGCTGGGAATCGGTTAGTCCCAGCTTTCTGGATGATTTGCATCGTGGACTCATGGGGAATACAAGCAATCACTTTTATTTGCTGCCCCAGATGACGGCTTCTAATGGCAAGGAGACGCAGGTGCGCTTCAGTCGGCTGCAGGATGAGGAGACGCTGTACTTGGTGTTTGCCAGGAATGCCAAAGATCCACTGATCGAATGGCATGCGAAGAGAGCCCGCGGAAGACGCTACTCCAAGACCATGTTCTTGATTAGAAAGCGGGAATCTCAAGAGGAACTTGAACACTTTTTCCAGCTCCTCTGGAAACTGCAATTCCGCTCCGCTTTGGTGGTGGTGGCTGCTGAGAAGTTCTACCAAATGGATCCGTATCCCGATGTGCGAGTGATCCGCATGCGAAGCCTGTCCTCCTACGATCCGCATCATCTGTTTCCTCCTGCAAATCGCAGGAATTTCTGGGGCTATCGGATACGCATGCCCGTTCAGCAGGATGTTCCAAACACCTTTTGGTACCGGAACCTCAAGACGAAAGCCTGGGAACTGGAGGGACTGGGCGGCATCCTGATCAGCCAGCTGATGAAGCATTTGAATGTCACCATGGATCTTTTTCGTTTTGAGATCAACGGCTCGAATGTGATGAATATGGGCGCTCTTATGGATCTGATTGCCGAGGGAAAGGTGGAGTTGAGTCCGCATTTATATGATACCCTACATCCGAACAACGAAGTGGACTACTCCTATCCCACGCAGGTGGCTCCGCGCTGCTTCATGATCCCCCTGGACAATGAGATATCGAGGAGCCTGTACGTCTTCCTGCCTTTTAGTTTCCCTTTGTGGTTGTGCCTGCTTTTCACCCTGCTCCTCGTGCAGTTTGTCTATGTGAGAAGACTGATGCCGGATGGGCAACTCTGGGGTATACTGGGAGTACCAGGAGCTGGAGGTTCACCCAGATGCAGGAAGCGGAAATCAGGCAGAGGCCTTTGCACCTTTCTAATTCTCAGTGGGATCTTCACACTCGTCCAATCGTACAGCACCAAACTCACCTCCTTTCTGACTGTCACCCTTACAAGGAAACCTGCCAGCAGCTTGGAGGAGCTCTTCCAGCTACCCTACAGCATCCTTGTGCTGCCCTCCGATGTGGAGGCCATTGTGGCTTCCCTCGGTCATGCAGATCAGTTTGCCCGCAAGTTTAGCTTCACAATGATAGAGGATTTCGATGAGAAGAGGATAGCCATGGATCCCGAGTACATCTATCCCATTAGCAACATCCGTTGGCGTTTTTTTGATCTGCAGCAGCGCTTTCTGCGCAAGAAGCGTTTCTACTTCTCAAGGATTTGCCACGGTTCCTATCCCTATCAGTATCAGTTGACTGTGGACTCGCATCTCAAGGATGCAATGCATCGCTTCTTGCTCCACGTTCAGCAGGGCGGTCTGCAGGATCTTTGGCTGGAGACCTGCTATAGGAAGGCCCATCGCATGGGCTATCTGAAGGACTTTTCCACCCTGGCGGAGCTGGAGGAGAAGCTAAGGCTAAGACCTTTGGCTCTAAATTTACTGGTGCCCGCTTTTAGTCTGTTTCTGTGCGGACTGCTGGGCAGTGGGATTGCCTTTCTGGTGGAGATCCGCCAGAGCTTTGGGTGCAGACAGAAGCCACCGCCCACTAACTCAAGTAGTAGCTCATTCTAACCAACCGAAAAAATTAAAATACATCCTAGCCGAAATATAAATCTAATCCAATTTTATGTATGATTCACATTTAAACCCCGCCACGAATGACAAATCGGATCTCTCTAACCAACGAATCGAAATTTGCAACCCATCATTTTGTATCGAAAACCCATCGAATCGAATCCAAAACCAAACAAAAATCCACACACATCCATCGGTCGTTTAGTCAAGCATCTGAGGCCGATCGTCGAGGGCGAGCATCATCATCATCTCGGAATGGTCGAAATGGTCGCAATGGAGCCACTCGGGGATGTAGATCCGCCCACCGAAACGGAGGCGGGCGGCGGCGGAAGAGGAAAGATCATCATAGGTTTGGACTAAATACAAATTCACCACCTTTGAACTCTGTACAAAAAGCATTAGCGATGCATCCAAAAAAAAAAACACACGAGCACACACAAAAACACACCTGCAACCACAACACACAAAACACGAGTTAGATATTAGATTGGTTTTTAAGATCCTTGGATCTGTAGTTTTGGCGTTAATGTAGATGTTGCTGCTTTACTAAGAAAAGATAATTTTTATGGGGGTGTATATTTTCTTTTAATATATATGTAGAGTTTTTAAAGTTATTAGAAAAGTGCATTATAGGAATAATTATTAAAAATCATGTAGTTTACTGAACTAATAACTAGAGAACTAATAAGATAGAGAACCCAGAAAAATACAAGTAGGAAAAAGTAAAACTTTGGTATTACTAAATTAGTGAAAAAATATTTATTTCATTTTAAAAAAGATTTTTGGAAGAATTTCTAAAGTTAGGAAGTATAGGAAATATATTTTAGAATCTACGATGCCTAATTTTTCCGATAACTTAAAGATGATATAATATAAAAATTTATTATTAGTTGTTTATTAGTTGTAGAGGTTGAGATGAGTCATGATATATGACTGTATAAAAATATCCAGTCAGATAGCAAGTGTCATAGGAGTTTTCCTATCGTAGGACCTTATAAACTACATAGCTTACCAAGATATTATATCTAGAGGTTTACATAGTTTACACAGATATTATACTTAGAGAATTATTTGGAGTATCCCAAAATCCACAATGACAGTTATTTCGATAGCTTCATATTTGCTTTTGGGTGACCCTTCATCCGAGTCTGTAGATTATCTTTGCTTTGCACTCACCCGCTTGTAACCCCCTTGAAAACCTCGGCCAATGCACCAAAAAAATTAAAAACCCCTGCATGTAGTTTACTCATCCACTATAATTATAGCTTAATCCGTAGTTTAGAAAGCCACCCGAAAAACTGCACAACCCAGAAACCCCGACACAAACACACCCTCCCCATTGGGAAATGGTTGGAACTTGGAATCCCCTAACTTGGTAATCCTCACGGAGTTGGTAGCATGTTGACTTGACCACTGGAGCATGTTGCCGTTGTTTTGTAGTTTTTGTAGCGTTAGCATGCTTGCCACGCCCACCTTTTGCCACCTGTATTTCGTACGCACACCACACTCATGCTAATCCACCCATCCGTTGGTGACTGGCTCTCGTTCCCCGGAGACTGGAGACCCACTCCTTTGGTTATGATTTCTGTAGTCCTTCTAGCTTGAGCGATTTTTGATTTTTATATACAAAACACACCTGTACCGGCGTTGGCTTTTTCTCAGCTGTCTCTGATTCCCGATCATCAGGATCCCTGAGAACCCAAGCTAATCCCCGCCTGAAACCGTTTGCAGGCGTCGACTGGAAGTCGTTGACCATCCCCGCCTGTCTGCCCATCACCACGGATTACTTTCCGGACAAGCGTTCCCTAAACAACGACTATGTGATCTCGGATTACACTTTGCTTCCCGATGATGTGAATCATGATTATGCCCAGAGTAGAGCGGTCTATAGGAAACCTTTATCCACCGAGGAGGTTTGCAAGGAAATCGTTTCGCAGCGGTTGGCTCAGGGATTCCAGCTGATTGTGGTCGATGAGAAGCCTCCGTCGGTGGGCAACTGCTCCTCGGGATCGGCTGTGCTGCCGGTGAAGCCACCTTGCGAGATCAACAAGGAGTATTTGTTGTCTATAGGAAGGATCTTTCACAAGATCTCACTGATTGGTTCTGTGATCACAGTCACGGGTTACAGACCCAGGTGAGTTTTAAATCTAATCCGATTCATGTAAACCCCCTAATAATAATTTTCCTTCTTTAGACATCCCTATCCCCCCATAAATGTGGACTACCGGTATCGTTTTCATGCCCCACAGCATGAAACCTATGAAATCTCTGGCGTAAACTTCACCACCGAGAAGCTGGAGAACTTTAACTGGAACCACATGGATCTGTACATCTGCACGCGTGGCGATGTGGATTATCCACTAATGGAGGTCTATACCTTATAAGATTTATTACATAGAATCCTCTAAAGAAATATCTATTTGTAGAGCTTGAAGTACTGGCGCTATCGCATGTATTTGCTGCCCCGGGAGAACATTGTGAACAAGATCGCCAGCTGTCAGCGCTGCGATATATTCCCCGATGTCACGGCGGATAATACGAGGGAACAGGTGGAGGATTTCGTCCGACTCATCGAGGCGGTCAGCAAGCTAAAGCGCCAATATGCGCGCAAGGCGAGAGTAAGATACAAATGAATCCTTGGCTTGGCTTTTGTGCATTCGTGATCCGTTGCGTTAATTCTGTAATTGCGTTCTTACTCCTAATTGACTAATCGTCCTGCCAGCGATGTCGAAAAATGGATCAATCGAGGATTGATCGGTCAAATAAGCTTTCTAGAGTTTATTAGATAGTTCATGCTTTGAAGAAATTGATTAAATAACTGGGAAACATAAAGAGAAATCACTTTTGTTATATATTTTCTGCAATTTTAAATAATTTTATGAACTTTTGGAACGTTTTCAAAAATTTCTTACAATTTATTCGCTAAGAAAAGTGAATGGTAAATTTAATATATTTTCAAAAATATTGAAAATCAATTTTTAAATATTTTAAAAATTATTTTTAAAAGAAGAAGCTTAAAACTACAAGTTTACCTTTAATTAAATTAAATTAACTCTGTAAATAGTTCTTTATTCCCCGAAGAAAACAAATGGTAAATACCTAAATTAATTTTTTAGGATTCTGTAAAGCAATTTAGGGATTTGAAGCATAAATCTAGAACTGTTGACCCGATTAACCTTGCATCACAAAGCCCGCTTTTAGTTGCCCGTTGCCTTTCCCCTGATGTATCGAGTATCTCGCCTCACTTTTGCAGGACAGCCCCATCGCCCACATAACCAAGCGGAGACACAGCACCAGCATTATATCCAGGCCTCAGCCTAACCAGGTTATCTACTTAACTTATCTAAAAAAAGAATTTAACGTTAAATCGATTAAATGTTCCATTTTATATGCGCACTTTTTTGCTTAATTTTGACTCAAAATTAACTTTCATTTGCGCACGTTTGAGTTGAATATTGATTGATTACTTCGATCGGTTTGCCTATAGATCGGTTTTATCTAATATTTTTTGTATCTCTTTCAAATGTCTCTGTCTTTCTTCCCGCCACACACACCCACTTTCGACCTGCCCCAATCCGCTCCGAAATCTGACAAACGAACTCCTCCAACTCCTCAGGGACTCATGAACTCTCCGTTCCGGGAGCGAGTCGGCAGTAATCGACTGCCGGAAAAGCGACCCAGGTTTTTATATCGACTCCAAAAAACAAACAAAAATCATAGATCTAAGGCCCCTTATCTCTCTTGTACACAAACATACACACAATACGCACATAAAAACACTGTATTTGCATTTGCATAAAAACCAGGAACCGTAGAAAATATTTTTTAGATTTATTAGTTAATTAATTGTGTGGTAATTAAACATTTAATAGGTCTGCAAAACATAATATAAACACCTACGCGAATTCTTCAGTTTCATGAGAAAGCTAGAGAAAATTTCAAAAAATGATAGTTTTGCAGATCTGTTTGATGATTAATTATATATTAAATAATATATTATTAAATAATTCAAGAAGACTGCGAAACATAACATAAACAGCTCCGCAAATTCTTCAGATTCACAATAAAATCAAAAAATAATATGATTTGCAGTTCTACTTATAATTATATTTTCTGTAGTTAAAAACATTATCAGAAAATCTAAAAATTTACCATTATTACCCAAAATATTATACTATATTATTTAGAAATTTTATATACGGTCCCTGGTAAAAGCTGCACGATTCGCTGGGGATTTGGTTGGCTACTGTTCCTAGCTGGTTTGCTGCCAGGACTCCCAAAACGATTCCTGGGTCTAGGCTAATTTGTATATACATATCTTGTTGCTGGCTTGTTGTTTGGTTATCCCTATATTTTTTTTGTATTTTGTACTCGTAGTCCTGTTGTTTTGTGCATCCCGTTTTTCTCAGAATTTGTTTGGTTGTTTGTTGTTTCTCATTTCCTTTGGTTTTGTTACGTATTTTTTATATAATTTAATTTGGTATTTGGCTTTCAGCAGCATGACACACCTAGAATCACTGAAAAGCATCATAACCCAATAAACTCACCGCAGCAAAGGTTTGTGCCACCCAAAAGGGGTCAGGATGTCCTGGCTCCGTTTATCTATCACTCGATTTTCGACTAATCCCCTCACAAAAAACCACATACCCAAAAAAACCTAACCAACATATATAAGCTATTGGCCTGCTGAAAATCCTGTATCCCCAAATCCAGATACACACACACACCAGACCCACCATGGATAAGGAACCTGTGATGATAATAGAACCCCTTATCGTGTCATATCTAATCCCTTTTTCTCTGCTACTTCACATGCCAGCATTAATGTGCGTCCCAAACTGGAAAACGGAAGGATTCCCCGTATTTTTCCCGCCACCGATGCAGTGGCAGCTGCAGGAATCGCCGCCAGAGATGACCAGGATGATGGGTATGGACTCCACTTAGAAGTTATTTATTTATATTCATTAATATATCTTCTTTAGCTTCCCCGTGGACATCAAGTTCAGCCCGAATGCCACTTTGGCCGAGATATTTGAGGCCATGAAGCATCCTGTCAATGGAGTGGGCTACTTCTCGCAGACCCAGTCACTTCCCTCCTGCACTTTTGTATCCTACGATGCCTTGATGTGGTTGAAAACCCGCCTCAACAATGGACGACATCCTCTGGAGCTGCTAGAGGCCATGCGAAAGTGGGTTACTTTGATCTTAGGAGTTATTACATATATTAATTTCTAATTTATTTAAGGGAGCGCATGATCTGCCATGCTTCTGGTGATTGGAAGAAGCCAGTGGTGCCTGGCTTTGTCTTCTACTATGTGGTGCAGCAGGATAAGAATGCCAAAGGTGGTTAGGTTTAAAGTTATATTTGTTCTTTACCTTAAAATCTTTAATATAATTTATAAAACCTTCCCCTTTCATTCAGATTACGCCCCGCCTTTGGGTGATTACAGCGCCTTTGTCAACGAATGGCTGGAGATTGAGTTCCAGGGATGTAGCTTCCTTTGGCATGATGAGCCAGTGACCACTCCAGTGCCCAATTTCCTAAGGGACTCTCCAGCTCCTCAATCCTGGACAGAAACCTGCAGTAACAGTTCGTGTTTCTTAGTTGAATCTTAAATACTTGTATTGTAATTAATGATCATTTCTAGAACGCGTCTATCGCCAGTCGCATCTGGAGATCGATGTGAACCAGAAGAGCGATCGCATGGAGTGGGGTCATGTCAAACATCACACAGTGCTGCAGCCCAGATTCGCCTTTGAAATTGTAGTGGAGTGGGTCACCTCATCGGGTCCTATAGTGGCTGATTTGGTTAGTAAATAATTATTGAGAGTGATATATAAGATCTCTTATTGTATTTTTATGACTACTACAGATTGGCGGATGGATGCGCAAGGCGAATCAGTTTAACTTCCTGGTTTCAGTACCAGCGGATCCCATGGCAGAGCCCTTTACCAAGAAATCAGATCCTCTGAGAGGACCCATTTTCATTCCGCTTTGCACCACATTCCTGCCCAATGGAGCTGCTCTGTTTGATGGTACATTATCCTACTTTTTTTTAAATTTTAACCTTTTTTATTAATTTATATTTGTATTATTTTGCAGAGTTCCCTGAGGATAGCCGTTCAGATCGCATGCTGTTCTTGCAGGATGCCATCTTAGCCAAGTTTGGCTTCTTGCCCTGCGTTTTGGAAAAGAAATACAGCATTGGCAAGGATGTGAGTGTATCATTTATATCTTTTTTAAGCATTTAACATTATAATTTAACCTTTATAGCTGCCCAAGGAGTATCAGTATGTGCATTGCACGGGCAACATGTTTGCTTTGATACGGTAAGATATAGCAATCTTTAAACACCTTAAAATCGAATCTAATCCATAATATCTTCCAGCTGCGCCACGAACAACTACCAAGTGGAATCTCCCATCCTGCAAGAGGCGAATGTCACACGCTGCGTCTATGGCCACACAAACAACACGAATGTCCCCAAGAAAGTGGGTTTCCTGTGGGCCTGGAATCACATGATACCCAACAAGAAGTGGAAGGCGCAGACCATTAATAACTCCGCAGACGGAGAGCTCTTTCAACTGAAGATGCTGAAGGATTTCCGTGAGTTTTGCTCGAACAGCGATCAGCGTTTGTCCACTTTCTGGTCGCAATCCCAGGAACTAAGGCGCCGGGCCCAGAAGTTTGAGAATAACAACAATAACACCGATGAGGTGAAGGTTAGAGCTTAAGAGTATAAGTTTTTGAATTGTAAATAAACAATATATAGACTATATATTAATTGAATCGTATTTTTTACTCTTACTAGAAATTGCATTTATTAATCGTAATAAACTCAACACGTACATAATTTCCAGGGGATAGAAAAGTTGAATGGCAATACACATTCGATAAGCTTACGGGGTCTTAAATGCTGCTAGGGGTCGCCCTCTTTTAGGGCGAGTAGTCAATAGATATATAGATATATATAGGTGGATCATCCTTGACTAAAGCTAACCTATTTGGCTCTCATCTTCTTCGGGGATTTCGCTTGCATTTGTGACGGCTTTGGTCGTGTGGTGTTGGTGGTGTTATGGAGATATTAGTTTGTAGTTTACTATCATGATGACCTGGTTACGGGTTACTGGTGCTGCGTTGCTTAAATGCTTTGGTATGCTGGCGAGCGCCATAATCATTTATTCATCATCCCGCAGGAACAGGGCCAGCTGCTCGCGATCCCGCTGCAGCCAGGCGGCATTCAGGCGGATCGTCTCCACCGCCTGGGAAACGGTGCGCTCGCAGCCGGGTATCTGGTTGGTCTGGAAGAACTCCTCCACCTCCTTGGCGCGCTCCTCGGAGGCAAAGTTCTCGATGAGATACTTGATCAGTCGGGAGAGTAGGAAGCCGCCCTGTGAAGATAAAATTATAGTTTTATGACTGCTTTACATGTTCCTACTGTCAAAAAATAAATCGCCTTAAATTTAAGAAAATTTGCTTCACTGGCGATTTGTTTCTATATTTCTGGAAAATTTCTTATATTTAGGGGCGTTTTCCCGTTTGTTAAATTTAAAGTAGAAACCAGAGTAATTTAACAGGCGGACGAGAAAACGGCCCTTAGTACATTTTGATTTATTTTAAGAAAATTTTCTTTACTAGTAGAAAAGTTTTTTATTTTAAAGAAAAAATCGCTAGTGAAGCAAATTTTTAAAATTCAGGGCGATAAATTTTTTGAGTGTATATAGATAATCCCCCTTACCTGGTAGCGTTCCAGCAACTTTTTGTTGTTCTCCTTGAAAAAGTCCCAGGCCATGTCACGTCCCTTGGGATTGATGGCCACGGCGACGATAACAAAGACAGCATCCTGGGCCCTCACTTCTCCCTAGAAAATACAAAATAAATAAATCTAAAAGCCTAATCCTCTAACTCCAAAGGACCACCCACCGACATGGCAAAGTCAATGACGCGTCGCAACAGCTTAACATCCCCGCAGCATCCCAAAGCTCGCGAAATGCGATCCTGCTCCTCGTGCAGATCGGTGGCCCGGTACAGATCGAGCATCTCCTCGAAGATCTTCTCGTCGCCATCCTGCAGCACCGCTTTGTAGCAGGTGGTGCGCAGATCGGCGGGCAGCGGACTGGTGCCATTAACATGCCCGCGGAAGCGTTGCTGCGCCTCCTCGATGGTATCCTCGCTGCGGAACGAGACGAGCCGCGTGAGCACCAGGCTCCTGAGCAAAGTGTCCAGATGATTCTCGCCATCGCGCGGCTCCCAGCTTAGTTTCTGGGCCACCGGCTCGTAGAGATTGCGGCCAAATCGATGGAAATCCTCCATGAGGTCGGTGTGCGAGATGAGGATGTGCAGATTGGTCAGCGAATTGGTGATGGCCGTCCAAACCGTGTAGTTCGTCTCGTTCCTGTAGGAATCTACGAGAGCCAAGACCTCGGCGGTGCTGGCATGACCCGCTTGGACCATGGCAAACATGTCATCGATCAATCCTAGACGATCCAGCGGCGGCAGTTCCATCTTCTCCACCGCCGGCATCAGTTGTTCCAGCATCTCCTTCGAGTAGCGAGTGCGGTAGTAGCCCACCGTTCCCGGATTTATCTTGATCCAATCGTCCTCGTCGACATTCTCGAGGGTCACCTCCATGGCGGTCTTGTCCAGCAGGAAGGTCTTGGCAATTCCTGTGGGATTCTTCGAGGTGGACACCGAAATGGGCACCACCCACAGGCAATTCTCATCCGCTGGCGAACCATCGGCTGTGAATTTGCACTGCTTCAGGCGCAGCAGACGTTGATTCTTGCCCACCTGCTCCGATTCCACGCTGACCACTGGGAAGCCCTTGTGCTGCGTCCACGAGGTCATCACCTCGCCCACATTCTTGGAGCTGGCCTCCTGCAGAGCAGCCCACAGATCCTCGGTGCAGGTGTTGCCATACTGATGCCGATTGAGATACAGATTCATGCCCTTCTTGAAGTCCGCCTCGCCGATGTAGTCGTGCAGCATGCGAATCACCGAGGCACCCTTGTTGTAGCTGATCTCATCGAAGATCTCGTCGATTTCGGAGGGATGACCGACGGGCACCTCGATGGGATGCGAGTTTTTGAGGGAGTCCAGCTCCAGGGCACGCGTGTACATGTCAGTGACGAACTGCGTCCAAATGTCGTACTCGGGGAAGAGGTGATGCACGCAGAGGAATTCTACAAAGGAGGCGTAGCCCTCGTTTAGCCACAGGTGGGTCCACCACTCCATGGTAACCAGATTGCCTGCAAGAAAAGGGTTAAAATTAGATGGTGGTATATAAACAATATAAAAATTCTTGTTTCATATCATTTAAAATCATTATGTCAAATTTATGATTTAGTCATATCAACTTGATACTTTATCATATCAGTTATTTTATAAAAATGATAAAAATACTACTTTAAAATACAAAATGTAGTATTTTTTGAACAAATGATAAAAAATAAGAAAAGCATCATCTTTGTTCATATCATTTTGATCTTTAAAGAATATTAAATTGACCTGAACATATCAACTTGATCTTTTGTCAAGCCTTTTTTCTGTGTAGGTTATTAAGCTAACCTAATTTAAAAACCCTATTCATTTTGATAACAGAATATTGTTTCATATCATTTAAAATCATAATGTCAAATTTATGATTTAATCATATCAACTTGATACTTTATCATATCAGTAATTTCATAAAAATTATAAAAATACGATTTTAAAATACCAAATTAAGTATTTTTCGAACCAATAATGAATAATTATCTTGATCTTAAAAAAAGACCTGCACATATCAATCTGATCTTTTTTCAAGTTATTAAGTTATTTTGTGTAAGTTATTAAGCTAACCTAATTGAAAAACCTTATTTATTATAACAGAATATGCCAGGGGAATACCCTTAAAGAACTATATAAATAACTCTCCGAATCTCATTCATTTTAAACCCCAAACTCAAGACATTGACACTAAAACCCCAAAAGAAGAATCAATTCCCAAGTGATCTGCATACCAAATTGAGTTTCAGGTGCTTCTGCGTCAGACAACCTGAATCGGTGAATCTTAAATTCATTTTAAAGATTTCTTATAGATCAAAGACGGCTGTTCCATAGGGAAAGAATCCAATTTACCGGATGCACATAGTAAGTAGTACTCACCGAACCACTGGTGGGCAATCTCGTGACCCACAGTCAGGGCAATCGACTGCTTGCGCATCAGCGAGGTGTTCTTGGGATCCACCAGCACGAAGGTCTCGCGGTAGGTGACCAGGCCCCAGTTCTCCATGGCGCCGGCGGAGAAGTCGGAGATGGCAATCAGATCCATTTTGGGCAGCGGATAGGCAATGTTGAAGTAGTCCTTGTAGTAGGGCAGCACCTTGGTGGCCACCTCCAAGGCAAAGGTGCCCTGTTCCCGCTTGCCAACCGGCGTGAAGACCCTGACGAGCACCCCGTCATCGGACTTGCCCTCCACATAGTCGTATTCGCCGACGACGACGGCCACCAGGTAGGTGGACATGATGGGCGTGCGATCGAAGCGCACACGCCGCAGACCGTCGGGCAGGGAGTCCTCCTTCTGGACGGGCATATTGGACAGCGCCACCCGATCCTTGGGCACCACCAGTGTGATATCAAACGTAGCCTTAATAGCCGGCTCATCCCAGCAGGGGAAACAGCGCCTGGCGTCGGTGGCCTCGAACTGGGTGACTCCCGCATAGCGCTCCTCGCCGTTGGGTCCGAAATACTTGCTCCTGTAGAAACCCTTCATCTTGTCGTTCAACTCGCCCGTGAAGGACATGTGCAGGACGCCCTGAGTCTCCGCCGGAATCTCCTGGGCAAACTCCAGCGTCGCAGTCTCATTCTCCGCCGAGTAGACAATCTTCTCGGGCTTCAACTTGCTGCACTCGTACTGGAGTTCCACCGAATCGAGAACAATGTCCAGGGCATTCAGGGTTATCTGTGTGGTGGGCTCCTTGACCTGCAAGATAATCAGTCAAAATGTCAGTAACCGTTAGGTGAGCAACCTGATCTTAAGTTTTTTTAAGATCGAAAGAGAGAAGGTTTTACACAGGAAAAAAAATTCCATATGAAATAGGGTCAATTCTACCTTATTTCATATCAATAAAAAGCCGATATGATTTATGTCATATCATTCATATCATTTCATATCATTTAATATACCAAATTTAGTGTTTTCTTAACAAACAATGTACAATAATATCAAAATGATATAAAATTGACCAGCACATATCTATCTGAACTTTGTGTGTAAAAACCAGTAAGCAGAAACATAATTTTTAATCATATCAAAATGATATAGTTTGGTTTTTAAAAAATGTAAAATTGACCAGCACATATCAATCATATCTTTCTGTGTAAAAACCAGTAAGCAGAAACAGTTAGCCAGGTCGAGAAGAACGGCCAGAATCCGAAAACAGTTACTTCAAGGTCGTAGAAATGCCGCTTTCTTGGCTTTGTTGTGGGTTTCCGGCTTAGGCCAGGCAATCAAAGCGCTCGAAAACGAGTTTTTGGCGAAATTTATACACTAACCCAGGGAGGATCCAGCCGGTATGGTAAATGTAAATCTTTCACCCGTCTTATCAGATTAATCAAGTCTTTGCTTAAACGCCGGCTTAAAAAGCATTCAGAATTTGCATAAACTTGCAGTTTGAACAACTTTTTTTTGTTGTCCATTATGAGTAAACACGTTAAGGCTTATATAAAATATGAATAATTTAAGTCACGTCTTTAAAACTTCATTAAAATAAATAAATATTTTAATTACTTTTTAAAGTGGTGGGAATATTTGAATCGCATTGACTATCTACAGTTTAGAAAGTTCTGTAGTTTCTAAACTTACTTAATTGGTACATGTTTCAATTTTCAAAAGTTATTATAAAAGTCACTAAAATGTTGTTAGATCTGGTTTTCGAAACTCGAAAACAACTTTTTTTATTTTTTAAAATTTTAGATCAGTTTTATCTAATCTAATAATGATATTTTTCCTAATTAAAGAAGTGGTATTTAAAAAACCGTTTAAAGTATTTGAAGTTAGGTATTATAATAATAATAATCCTATTTATAGGGTATCAAAAGTGCGACTTGGCGTTGATTTATCATTTCCGCCGTTGACGCAAACAAAACGTAAACAAAATCCACCGTTATGAGCGGCGTTTGCAAAAAGAGATTGTCTCGAATAAATTTTTGCGCGGTACCCTCGAGTTCCAAAGCCAAATCGCCCAGTCATTCCACCATTCCTTCTGCGCCTTCTGCCGACAAAGAAATCGCACTTCCTAGTGGGTGTACTTATACGTATATCTTCATATCTATATCTGTTCATCACTCCAAGTGCTGTGCTTGCATGCAAATTGCAGCATAAAGAGAAATGTTAACAAGGAGAATGTCCAATTCCATTCGAAATATACACATATTTTTTTTGCACACGTCAGAGGAAAAAGTTCACACAATGAGGCGCAGAAAATAACAATGCGGGAAAAGTGAAAGTGGCTGGAGAAGAGGAGAAATGGAAAGAGATGGATGCTACAGTCGGGACTGGCTAACTGATACAATACTTGTTTACATAGAAAACTAATGGATTATATCTAGAAATCCCTTGAACTAACATCATCTTACTAATGAAACTATAATATTAACAGATTTACATAGAAAACAAATTGAATATCTGAAGAAATCTCAAAGATTTATATCATCTCGACTATCTTATACCTAAAAAAGTCTAGAAATAAACCTTATCCATTATTTCTCTAGCTGAATCAGTAAGATATTGATTGATTATCTGAAGAAAACCTGTATACTTATATCATACCGACTATCTTATACCTATACAAGTCCAGAAAGAAACCTTATCTATTATATCTCTAGCTAAATCAGTAAGATATAAGAGCTAATTGCAGATTGGCACATATATAAAGTCTAAGATAAGTACACTTTCTAGACCCTCGACTGTACTCACATTGACTTGCACTATGGTCTTTCCTGTGAAAGTGAACTCCTTGAGATTGGGCTGCAGGAGGAGCTCGTAGTGCCGTGGCACCACATTGGTGGGCAGCCTCTCGAACTTTGCCTTCTGGGCCATCTTGCGCTCCTGCTCCAGTTGCTCCGCCTTGCTGAGTAGCTGATGTGCTCGCCTGATCTGCTGAAGATTACACCCCGGATGATGATGATCTCCGAGAGGTAAAACGTCCGCTGAAGTGTGAGCTAGGATGGCACGATACTGGCTGCAAAGGTCTCCTAGTAAGGGAGCGTCACTGCTTTTAAGAGGTGCTCCTAGCGACACACAAGAGTAATCCCGGTAGAACTGCTTCTGCACCTTCACAAATTGCTTGGAGGAGATTAGCGCGTTGAGGTGGCCGCTTTCTGCTTGGAAAAAAGATGTCTTATCTCCTGTTCTTCCCGGGTTCTTTGGGTTCTCCGGTGGGTTAAGTGGAGTTTGCCGATAATGGTTAGCAACGATACTGAAGGAGGAGGAGTAACTTTTGTTGTTATCGCCTGGTTTCGCTGTTTTTAGTAGCAACAAGGGGTGTTTCTGTGCGTTTCTGGCGGGGAGGTAGCAACACTCTAAAGATCTGGCAGCTGGAAGAGCGGAAAAGCTGGTTAGCACTCGGGATATATAGCGTAAAATGCACTGATAAGCGTTTGTTATTCGATTAGCTATACGAGTTTTGGATGGGGAGAAGGGGCGGGGTTTTTTTTGGGGGCAAAACGAAGCAAACCTTCACACAAATGCTGTTCGAAATCGGAATTTGCCTTGGCCAAGTCCAAGTTGAGTTTGCCCAGTTCTGCAAGTAACACTCAGAACTATTAATTACCGATTCCGGATATGGTATAGCATATAGTTTAACCGAGATAAAACGAACAATATGCGGTGATAGTAGCGACAACACGCTTCTTCGAGTGGAGTGGCCCAATTGGAATGCGGGACGACTGGAAGTGGACCAATCAGCTGTTCGTCGGTCGCTCCACTGAACTAAATGCCAAATTAACTAACTGAAACCATTGTGTAATCACCGTTCTTTAACTTCCAAGCCTGCTTGGCCGTGCGAATACCGCCTTTTAGTGCATTTTTGTACATGTCTTTGGCCCGGAAATAAATTTAAATAAAATAAAAACAACAGAGCAACTCTACGGTAGATTTTGTGTGTTAAAAGGCGGGCACTTACCAACACTGTCTCTGCCCGTTATTTTTTTTTTTTAAATTGTCTTTTTATGTGTTTAATTTCCAAAGTTTCTAAATTTTGTGGAAAGTTTATTATTGTTTTGACATTACATATATTTTTTCTGATTTTTGGGACAAAAACTATGTTGCTAGGTTGTTAAACCAAGCAGTAAATAACCTGTATTTTTGGTCATTTAATTTTTAATTTTACAACTACTTTATAGTTTATAGGTGAAAGCTTGACTTTAGTTATAGCTAATTGCAATACTTGGAAAGATTATTAACCATAATTTGAAATATTTTTAAAATATTTCCAGTAACGGTTATCGAAATTAAGCATATCGAATTCAACATATCGATATGGACATATCGAATATACCTTCCAATATTGCCATCACCAGCCATGGAGTTGGAGTCCGATCGAATCAAGTGATTTTAAAAATTAGTTTAAAAAAACTTGTCGGATCGAGCGGTCGCAACCGGGTTCCGCGGCGCGTACTTTCAAAACCCCTCCGAAAGTTACGGACTTCAGCGCTTTTTTCTAGACTCCTTCCTTCCCGCAAATCAACCCTTCCCCTTCCAATCGGCCAAGCAACGGCACCTGCATCGCAACCCCCCGTAAACCTAACCATAAAGCCAGACGGTTGTGCAATCGAAGGTGTCTCCGGCTATATAATCCACCTGTATAATGATCCGAAACCGAATCGGAATGGAAATGGCAGCACTGCCAGCTTTAATAATCGCCATCGCCACCTGCCTGCTGATGACCCCCGTCCACGGAACGCCACTGGAGTGGGGTAAGAGAGGAACCTTCCAGTGGGAGGAGGAATTGGGAATAGAAGGAACAAAACAGTTAGGAGATAGCACACCTGGCAACTCTGGAGCCTAACCTTCATTTTACCGTCGCTTGGATTTCAATTAGAAATCAAGAAATCAATTCGACATAAACAATGCAGCCAAGTGGTCTTATGTAATCGCTTGACATTAGCCCCGTAGCATATTTCCCATGTGTTTGTGTCCGCTATCAGCTGACTATCGGAGCTGCCCCGCTACATAGGAAAAACGCTTTTTTTATCTCTCTTATCAGTGGCAGAGGCGCGCTTTTGCTATCAATGCACACGTCGCTGATAGCTGATAACCAATAGCCAAATAGTTTAATTCTAATGTGTGATACTCATTGTTATTAGACGTTTTCCCCGTGTTGCTGTTGTTATTGTTGTTGTTGCGCTTTCTCCATGCTCTCACTCTCTTTGAGGGCTCAACGTGGCCGGCAAAAACAACTGTGAAATACAGTTGAACTTCGCTAACTTTCAACTGATAAAAGTAAAAAAAATTCAAAAATCTCTAAATTATTTTAGTGACCAACCCATAAAAAGGTTATTAAATTAAACCATTAAAAATAAATTTAAATCTCCTTGAAATCATTATTTCTTCACCTTGAAGCTGCACTGTACGATACAGTTAAACTAACCAAAATTCCAGCTCTCCAAACTGGAAAAACCACTGACCATTAGGTGAAGGTGAAAATTTGAATTTAAAATTGGTCTCCACTCCATGAAAAGGGAAATTCTCTGCTGAAAGATAGTTCTTCAGCATGGAGTTGCACTGTAATCGGCATTTGCCACCACTTTGGGCCGCCATGTGGCCGAATCACTTTGTCACGTATGCCACACAAAACATCGCCGGTTTGTTTAGATTTCAGCGATTTCTCAAATTTCCACAGTCCCCAGGGGGGAATCGTGTTTCAAATCCAGAGCTCTGAGTTCTGTATAACTTTAAATTTAAAACCTAGTGTCGTGGAATTTCTATATCTCGCAATCCGAATCCATTTAATTCCCTTCTAATCAAGCAGGCGCACAGATTGCTTGGGTAAAGAAACCCAGAAACAGCCATCTGGAAACCCGATCTCACTTGACTTGACATATAGCATATATAGCATATAGATCGGAGGGGCCCACGTGCGACTTGGGAACTTTTCCGAGGCATTCCATTAACACTTGCTCGCTTTCGCTATTAGATAATGCTAATGGGTGGAAATCGCACCGTGACGCTTTGAAAGCCGTGCGAAAATCCATATCTTACGGGCGTTTCAAGAGATACCGGCTATTTCATGAGTTATATTGGGACAGCCATAAGAAATATTGACCGTTGGTCTATCAGGCATTTTAAGTAGCGCCATTGTAAATCTCAATCACTTCAGTTTATATCTGGATTGTTCAGGATTGCACCAGGAACTGTAAATCCTTTAGTTTTAATTCAAATTTCTTCGGGAATATAGTAACTTTTTAAATATAACACTGAACAATTACTTTAGTACTCTTGAAAACGATAAAACTGTTTAGAAAACTTCTTATCAACATCGAAGTTCCATGAAACTTTTATGAAATGAAACACTTTACAGAAAAAATATTTCTCATATATTTTTTTTTTGCAACATTTTTCTGAGCTTGCATTTATTTTTCATAGATTGGAATTTAGCTTCCTTTGCAAAATTTGTGTTGCACTTTATTTTTATGCTGACACAACACATATTTATGCTAGCACTGAATTATAAAATACTTTACACAATCACTTTAAAATAACTTACCTTAAGCACGGTTTTAAATTCAAAAGTTAACTTTTATCACTTTAACAATGTAGCTTTAGCTTTTCAGCAATAAATTCACTTTACTAATTCACCAACTAAAAGGAATTTTATGACTTTAAAGTTTGTGAACTTACCTGGTCATTTTGTTAAAAACTATAAAAGTTTATAAATACTTTACAGCTAAATAAGTAGTGGTTACGATGTAAATATAGTAATTTAAAGTTATTTAAATGTAACATTTAAAAAGTATAGATAGCGTTTATAATAGTAATTAGTATTAATAGATTAGTTTTTATGGGTCTCCCCGGTCAGTTTTCAATCAATAGCTCTACAAATGAACTCCGCAATTCGCAGGTATTATGGTATATTGCCAATTTAGCATTTTCTGCATCGATAAAAACGTTGACCTCAAACCAGAAGCGTGGAGGTCGACGGAAAGGTTCGTTCGCAACTGCGTTTTGGAGTGGTAAATGCTAGGCTTGTGTTTTTGCGGGTCTTTATTTTACAGCCATGGATAATTGGAATGAATCATGAATAACCAATAGCTATGGCCTACCAATGAGATTATCTATTCGAAGCTCTGCAACAAGGATTTGAAGTTATTATAAAAAGCTAAAATAACCTGTAGTTAAACAAGTTTTTGTATAATATCTTTTTGCAGTTTGTTGTGGTCTTTCGGTGTTTTTTTCCCACAGCGACAGTGACCTAGAAAGGTGTTTTTGGTAGAGTTTCTATAAAGCTATAGGGCCAATGACCAGGTCGCGAGTGATGAATGGATAATCGATCGGATCTGTTGATCGATTGGTTATGGGGTTATTGTAAGAGGAACTGTGAAAGTAAAGCCTTGATATGATACAAAAACACTATACAGTATTCCATATACAATCCAATACGGAACTGCTACCATTTCGGTTGTTTTCTGTTCCGTCAGCTGCAGTTTTTCCCATTTCCGAGTCAGGATTGTTTGCTTTATTTGTTTGTTTGCATTAAGGCAGGTGTCGCATTTTACCCACCTGCCTGGCTAATTAAATAAACGACTAAATGACACACCCCCCTTCAGATCAACAGGTTCTTTGATCTCGTTTGCGGGGAGATTCTGAATCAAAATTAAAAATCCGAGGGGTAAGGCAGATTTTTGGTACCCCTTATCATCAAATCATGTCACCATTTGTATTTTTGCACACCAATCTCTTGGGACCGCCATGTTTTTGTGTACGAATTTCAAGTTTGCCATTGATTAGGGGATCTGATACTATTATAATATTGCCTGATCCTGACGTCACTTGGGTTTCAGGTGTTGTTGTATTGAGAAGTTAACTCGTAAATTTAAATCCATTAGAGATAATCAATTATTTTTTGAGAATATAAAGCAGTTGTTAATTAAAAGTGTTAATCAACATGTTATTAAGCTTTAAAATGCTTTTCTTATGACTAAATACATTTGTAACTATCCAGTTTTCGAATGAAAATTGAATTTATAAATTAGGAATATAGCCAGAACTTATAGTACTTTAATTAAAAGTTTATTAAGCTTTTAAATACTTAACGTATGATTGAATTAATTTTATAACAACCCAGTTTTCCAAAAAAAACTTAAGATATTTAAAGGTTATAAACCGAAACCCCTTCTTATATATTTTTTAAAAGCACTCCCCATCAATCTCTTGCTTTATAAATCAAACTCACTAAGTACTCAAGTCTTAACCAAAATCAGATACCAGAAATAGCCTTGAATAACATTATAGAAAACACTTTTGAGTGATTAAAATTGATTTCTTAGGTCAGAGAGTTTGACATCTTACGTATCAAGGGATTTCCCTCGGGGCTTTTGAAGGTTGACGTCTTCGGATCCTCGTCGCCTGTTGACTAATTTACAACGCCCTTATCAGTCTAGACCCTATAGACCCCTTCTAGTTTTTGATGATTTCGATTTCTAGGTATTAAATTTCCCGAAGCGGCGCCGCATTAAATAATCAATTAATAAAAATAAAACGCAGTTCGTTGAAAATTCATTGCCTGAATGTTGTTGCAAAATTCAATTCGAGTCGCAATTTCCACAAATGGCGGCGCTTGATTGGAATTCGCGACACTTTTGGCAACTTTAATGGGGGGCTCGACAATTTGGGGGCCTTTTGCCTTTGATTGAGCTTAATTTCCGCAAATAAAGCAAGGGGTCTTATACTCTTATCGATGTGATAGAAGTCAAGTGATGCTATCGGTCACGTTTGCCAATTCTAGAAGCCTTCCAGAAACTATTTTTGATTTCCACAGTAGTTGTTTTCACATTGGCACTGAAGCATATCGGTTTATAGATAAGATTACTTAGATAAATGCACTCGATTATCCTCATAGTTATTGGTGATTTAAATTTGTGGTAAATGAGTCAGTGGTGTCGGTTTCACTATATTGATCACGTAGCTGTCATCGCGATGATCGGTCGATAAATAAGTCCGGCTGGGAAAAACTAGTTTGTTTCGTTTATTGAGCCCCTTAAACTTTTGATAAAAATAATTCCAGCATAGGCAAACATTTAAAAAAGTGGTAAATACAAGGAAACTGGAAATACTCTAAATATAAAATGGGAATGGAAACTTTGGAAACTACCTTAGAAATTACTAGAGTTTTACAATCACTTAAAAAGATGCTTTAAAGTATGCAGTATAAAAACAAGAGAGAACGCTATAGTCGGGTGCCCCGACTATCAGATACCCGTTACTCAGCTAAAGGGAGTGCGAAAGAGATGGAGAAAAACTTTGATCCGCCGTAACTTTTTAACGAATGGTCCGATTTAAAAAATTTCTTCTACATTTCGATAGGTATTGATAAACACAATAAAACTGCATTTTTACTTTTCCAAAATATTGAAATTTTTAAAATCGTATATAAGCGATTGTGGGCGTTAGAGGGGGCGTGGCACCCTTTTGAAACAAACTTGCGCTGCGTAGGAACTCCTAGAATCTGCATGCAAAATGTCAATCTTCTAGCTTTTATAGTTTCCGAGATCTCAGCGTTCATACAGACAGACAGACAGACAGACAGACGGACAGACAGACGGACAGACGGACATGGCTAGATCGACTCGGCTAGTGATCCCGATCAAGAATATATATAGTTTATAGGGTCGGAAACGCTTCCTTCTACCTGTTACATACTTTTGCACGAATTTAATATACCCTTTTACTCTACGAGTAACGGGTATAATAATTTCGTTTTCTTAAATGAATCCATGGGATTTTACCTTAAAAAATATTTTGTTGCATACTTTTTTGACGCAGTTTTAACTTTTTAGAAATTTATAAGTGTTTTTAAAGTTCTACGTTTAGAACTATAGCTTGAAAAATATCGATAGTTTGCTATATCTCGATATTTAATTTCTGGTTACCATCAAAACATCGATTTTATCGAATTGATATTGTCGAAATATCGAAAATATCGATAATTTTCAAGTTAGAACCTATACTATATATCTCTTACCTAACCAGACTAAGATATCTTCTAACTCCCTTCTTTATACAATCTTTTTCAGACTTTGCCGTCACGCTGAGGACTCGGATTCAGTTCATGGACAGCAATTGGCAGACGATAGCCACCGCCGCCCATCAGTTCGACGAGCTGTCCGCTCTGACCTTCGACGAGTCCGAGGAGCTGATCTACTTTAACGACCTGAAGCACCAGAATGGCAGCATATTCTCCCTGAAAAGGGATCTCCTGGCCGCCTCCCATGTGGTGGAGCAGACAATTGCTCGCACAGCCAATGAAACTGTGGGAGGATTGGCCTACGATCCACTGAACATGAACCTCTTCTGGTCGGATAAGGAGCACAAGAAGATCTTCTTTGCCCCCATTCATGGTTCAGTGGCTCCCAAGGTCCTCGTAGATCTGAGTGCCGAGGGAGGATTACCCGATGGCGTGGCCGTGGATGTTTGCCGCCGGAAGCTCTACTGGACCAACTCGAACCACTCGCATCCCTCAGTGGAACGCATAAACCTCGATGGCAGCAACCGGACCATGATTGTCAACTCCTCCATTCACATGCCCAAGGGCATAGTGGTGGATCAACTTTCGGATCGTCTCTTCTGGATCGACGACCTCGATGGCATCTACTTTTCGGTGGAGAGCACTAAGCTAGATGGTTCCAATCGTCAGTTGGTGTTGAAGGATAAGAACCAGGAACCTCTGAATCTAGCGGTAACCAACGATGCCATCTACTGGACCGACAAGACGACCAAGGCGGTTTGGCGGCATCCCAAGGTGCCGGTGATTAAGGTTACGACCACCACAAAGCCAGCTGAGGAGGATGAGGATACCACGGATCAAACCAACTACGATCCCGAGCCTGTTATGGAAATCAGTCCCCTCGTTCGCGTTGCTAATCTCAGCGAGGAGGCGCGAGGCATAGTGGTGCGCACTGGATTCTACCAGCGGCTGCAGAAGGATCACCACTGCGCCAGCATTGTGCGCAAGGTGAAGGAGCGCCTGGACGAGCAGAGCAGCAAGATGGAAATACGCTCGCTGCTGGACCAAAAGATGAAGATTCTCGAAGACGAACGCTGCATGAACGGCGGCGAATACAAGCCGCTGACCGATCTATGCATCTGTCCCACCGGCTTCAAGGGATCGCGCTGCGAGATCCGCGAGTGCCACAACTACTGCCTGCATGGAACCTGCCAGATGAGCGAGTTGGCCTACCCCAAGTGCTATTGCCAGCCGGGATTCACGGGCGACCACTGTGAGGTGAACCTGTGCTTGGGATTGTGCTTGAACGGCGGTCACTGCAGGGTTTCCAAGGATGAGAAAGAGCCGCCCAGCTGTGAGTGTCCCGCGCGGTTTGGCGGAGCTCGTTGCGAACAGAACTCCACCGAGATCTGCTCGCTTTTCTGTCGACTGTTGAAACACGAACCGGATACCTATGTGCCCTTTGGCTGCCACAATATGTAAGTAGTCCTGTGATTTCTTCTAGAAACCAGAGCTTGTACAAAACAGTTGATTTGGTTTCGGTCTGAGCGAAACACTTCGTTTCAGTTTATTTCGGTTTTCAGTTGACCGTTCTTAATTGAAAAAAAAAATTGTTTGGTCCTTCAACAACCTATTTTTGGGAACGTATGTATAAAACGGTCCCAAAGAAACTATTAGTAGATGAACAAAACTTTGAAATGCTCAGTAAAAACGGTCTTTTTTTGACAGTTTCACCTTTCCTTTGCCTTACACCTTTAAGGCAATATATACAACATTTTTTTAAAATACCTATATGGTAAATAACTTAATTATTAGCACCAGGCGAATTGCAGTTACTGTTACCATTATCCTCAAAAGAATTCGCGGTTTTTATACTTTTATGATAAAGCGCCATTGGTGATGCTGTATATACACTGGCCAAAATCTCCTGAAGAATTCGCGGTTTTAAGTCTTGTAAGACAAAGCCTCTAAGTGATGGTGTTATACGAGTAAATATATACAATGGCCATCATCGCGGTTTTTATTTTGGTTGATAAAGCGTCTAAGAGATAGTGTTATGCTAGTAAATCTTCTTTATCTTCCGAAGAATTCGCGGTAGGTAAAAGTATAACTGGAAATATTGGTCTGCTAAAGTTTTGTACTTCTTACTTAATAAAATCCAAAACACTCTTTGTTTAAGATTTTTATAAATAAAAAAATCGAATTATTTTTAAAAATTAAATTTCTAGTAGAAACTCCAACTAATTACATCTTCTAACCCCTTCCAGCTGCGAGGAACTGGCTCAGGCGAACAGCACCAACATTGCCGTTCCGCAGTACACGCATTTGGAGGTGTGCATCACGCCCAAAGTCTGGACCAGCAGTGTGATCATCATCCTGGTCGTGGGCATCGTTTCCAGCCTGCTGCTCGTGGCCGTAATTATACACGGCATCCGTCGCCTGTACAAACCCAAGCGGCCGAGGATCAGGAAGACCTTTGTGGTGCGCAAGCAGGCCAGGACGAACTCGGCAGGAGACACGCCGCTGACCAACAGGCCACTGGCCACCGAGCAGTGCGAGATTACGATAGAGAACTGTTGTAATATGAACATTTGCGAAACGGTAGGGGTATCTACCTTTATTTCTTAAATACTTTTCATTAACTATATCTATATTTTGCAGCCCTGTTTCGATCCCAAGCTGGTGGAGCAGACGCTGGCCAAGTCCAGCTGCAAGGAGGACAAGAAGATACTCATCCACAACATGGAGGATGATCTGTACTAGGGTCTCTGTACCCCGAAAAACCAACTGAAACCTTGTGATAGTCGTCGTCGTCGAGTGCGGATTGGTATTCGAGCTTGAAAAGCTGCTGCCCGCCCGGCCCTCGACCCCGTTAGCCGCCAAGGTGCTCACCCAGGCAACAAGCAACTAGAAAAACTAGAGAAACCAACCACCAACATGCAACAAGCACTTAAACAACTTAAAGCTACCGATGAGCCTGGAACACTTAACACTCGCCAAACAAGAAACCAACCAACAAACCATTTACTTAAGCCGAAGCCACTTACATTTCTGTGTACTTAGCGATCCTGGGAGGCGTGCTTCGGTCTCGTTAATTTATTCGTAGGATCATTTTATCATCCCAGGATTTAGGATTTTTAGCTCAAAGCCTCATCTAAAATTTTACACTTATTTTTGAAGTTTTCTTTCAATTTTTATTTGGTTTTTATTTTGAATTCGTCATGTTGATATGAAAGCAAGTCGCGCGACTGACATTAGCTTTAAAAAAAGATTTACAAAAAGAAAACGGAATACGCACGGATACCAAGAGCCTGTAGATCGTAATAGACCATTGTGATTGTGATTACTTACATCTAAGCTGTTGTAATTAACCCTTTCAAGTGAGTCATTGTTCAAGTTCCTGCACCCCCTTGTTGTGAAATCAAAGAAAAACAATAGGTAATCCCCCTATCCCACTAATACGCTAAATCTTGCCTTTTCGGGTGATCCCTTCCCGCTCTCCTCATCCCCATCGTGCACTACTTAAGAAACGTCAGAGAAAAATACCCAAAAACAGTGGGGAAAACTCTTCAGAAAGACCGAGAGTTGTAAATATTAATGCATAGTTTAATTTTAGTCGTAGTCCTTAAGAAAAGGGTTGAATAAAGAAAAACTACATGCAGTTGTAAATGGAAAAAGGTGTGCTTACTTGCATTTTACAAGGGCATTGTTGTTATTTTCTTTTGCAGATCGTCACGTAAATATAGGGGGATTCCCTAAACTGTTGAATTGCTGAATTGTTGAATTTTGGTCAGCTGTTAATCAGCTGTTCCATACAAAGTCAACTTTTAGAAATTTCAGCAATTCAACAGCCTCGGGGCTGATGAAAATTTTGTTGAATTGCTGAAAAGCCAGAGCAGTGTTGGGACATACCTAGATACTTTTACCTAGGTACGTACCTAGGTACAATTTAGTGGTACCTTTTACCTTACCTAGGTATACAAATAATTGAGTACCTTTTACCTTACCTAGGTATTTATTTTTATATACCTTTGGAATTATTAAGGTACTTACATAGGTATTAAACATTGTTCTGATTTAAAATAGCCAAATCTGACTGCGACACTGTAGTATCGTTTCATTGTATCGTTTCGTTTCAGAATTGTAATAGTCGGAACGCAGCATTAATAATTCAGCCGTTCTATTGTTTGTTTTGTGAAGTTAAAACTAATCGCAGTTTTTTTTATATAATTTTGTGCACGTATGTATGTTCCCATCACTACATCAATTTATTTATTAAACCAAAGTGTATTTGGCGCGCAAAAATGCCGTATGTACGTAAACAAACGGCATATACATGCATATGCACAATATATAGTCAATGTTTCTACATACGGAATTTTTGCGCGCCAAATATGTACATGAGGGTTTCATAAATACATTAATGAAGTGATACGTGCATAAAATTATTCATGCCGCGTGGTTTAAAAATATATGCACATATTAAAACATTTAAATTTAAATGAAATGAAAAGATATTGTTTGATTAAGACGACTAAAAACTGAAAACTAGTCTTATTTTAAGTTTAAATGATTACATTGAACAAAACAAAAAAATTATAAAAAATAAAAAATACCTTATAAATACCTTTTACCTTTACCTAGGTACTGGGAAATTTAAGTACCTTTACCTTACCTAGGTATTTATTTTTGACAATACCTTTTACCTTACCTAGGTAAAAAAACACAGTACCTTTCCCAACACTGAGCCAGAGTTGTCACCTTTTTTTAAAAGTCGTGGCAACTCTGTAACATTTTAGTATCACCAGTACGCATTATTTATTTTAAAATCAACTTAGAAAGCATATTTGTGGTTCTTTATACCTCGGTAACACTTTTAGACAGTAACTAGCAATAATAAATCAAATTTTACGTGCTTTTAGTTTCGTGAAATTTTTCAACAAATAACAGCTGTTTGAAAATTCAACAGGAACCATTTTGGGTCGTTCCCTTAATTGGTGAAATTTTTTGTTGAATTTTCAACAATTCAGCAATTCAACAGTTTAGGGAATCCCCCTTATGTATTTGGGTGTGGATTCATAACCCGGATGACGAATGACACCAGCGCACATTTTTTCTAATGCAATTTTTAACTTTTATACATTTTTTTATTCTTTTACACTTGACACTCGAGGAAATTATTTTTTAAACAAATGAATAGTTAACTTTCTTACTCACAAATTTTATCTAAATAGCGACTGTTGGGGCTTTTTAAATCGGAAGTCTCAAAGGTATCGTAAAATCCAACCGATAAATTATAAATGTAAAATTATCGTATGGCACATTGGGGATACTCTATTTATTTTTAGTTTATTCTATAAGTTTATTAAAAAAACAATTTATAAAAGAGATTTTACTCTAATAATTTATAAACTATCATATCAGTATATTAAAAACATATTTTAATCGAAGAGTTTTAATACTACAATTTTATAATACCATAATTTATTTTTAATAAAACTAAAAATTAAGTTAATTAATTATCGTTTTTAGAAAAAAAATGTAGATCTGTTATGTTTTCCGAAATTTATTTTTTAGAACTTTATTTAAATATTTTACATTTAAAAATAATTTACTACTTAAAAAAAATATTTTTTTAAAAAAATATTTTAAAATAATGCTCAACCGCTAAAAGATAAGTATCGGCATTTGAAGTTGCCAGACGGTCGTTGAATGTCGATAGTCACGACCAAGAATCGATAGTTGAGAAAAGCGAAAACATCGGCTGAAGTACCACCACTATTTCGTATCCATCTTGACAAAAATTTTCGCAAAAGAAATAAAAGTTAGCAAATAACAGCGTTTACGGATAACAAATCGCCACTAGAATAACTGGAAAACAGCGAACATGGTTAGTATTAGCGAAAACCGATGGAATAACTTCGCGGGATATAGTTTATAGTTCCACATCGCGTGTTTCGGTTAGATGTGAAATTTGCGCATTTTTTCGGTACCTTGCCAGTGGCGTTGCAGTGAGCGGTACAAAGGGGGTACTTTACGGGGGGAGGGACGCTGTGCGTGTTGGTGGATGGGGGTGGAATCGATGTAGCACCCCTTCGTGACCTTGCCTTGCATTTGGGCACTAGTACGTCACAATTGCGGACCCCCAGCGGATGTGTATCTATCCGAATTAACACCACGCGCTCCCGCACCTCCGATTTCGTCTATATATGCAAGTACAGCCCTTTGGTCCCATATGAGGATTTTACCTGAGAAAGGGTGAGAGGAGGGATGAGAGATGGAAAGATCCGTAAAAAATCTACCTTTAACATATGGTGAAACCTTGTTATCTTCTAGTTTAACCTTATCTACTGTAATCCTCATTTGGTACAGATAAATTGCATATTCCAAATGCATTTCAGACTGATAATAGATACATATATAGAAAATATAAGCAGATGGTGGAATTTATAGAGTGTTTATTATTTTTACGAAATACATAAGCAATACCATTAAAAAGGAGTAAGAGATCTATCAATCATAGACGATTTCATTATATGACCATATGGAGGAACCATATTATCTTACAAATTAACCATATCTGCTTTTATGAAATCCATTAGAAACACCTTTTGAAAAAGTGTACATAAATTATTTATCAAGAAGATCCAATTATTTCAGCATATGGTGTTACCCTTTTTATCTGTTACATTGTGCATATCCACTAAAATAGTTACTTATTTATAATAAATAATAATATTGTTAGTTCTGTGATCATTTAGTAATTGGGGAATATGTTAGGATACTCTAATATATTTTAATTTTTCACATTTACATTACATTACATTTTAAAGTAATACATTACATTATAAACTGTTTGCTCAAACCACAAAACCCTTGGTTAGGGTATATAAACATTTTACTTAACCCCTTTTAACCCACTTTTTCTTAATTTCCTTTTACAGGGCAGCAACGACAGAGCATCGAGATCACCGCGTTCGGATGATCAGCGCGAGATCAGCGATATGCCGGCCACCAAAAGATCGCGCTCCGACTCGGGTGAGTTTCCCATCTGTCCGTCTATAAATAGCTATGTATGATGGAATGATAACCGTGGCGATCAGCACATCGCCCCCAAAAAAATTAAAAAACATGTTGTGTATGTCTGAGAATGAGCTTGGCACATAGGTTCAATCAATGAGAGCAACCAAAAACCAATCCAACAGTCCACGAAACGGAATCCACGAGGAGGAATCCCCACGGCCTTCCAAATTGTATTGTATTTTTTCGGTTGTCCAAGCATAAAACATAAGCACATCTTATATTTTCTCTCCTACTTTTGTACTTGTACTCTACTACTACTACTACTCTACTCCGTTGCATCTAAAGGGCAGCACTGACGCCACTAAATAATCGGTTTTTCTTTTTGTTCTGCTTAAGTAATTGCAGACTTCATAAACGCACGATGAACTCAGAACTCAGACTGTGAGGTGTGAGGTGAGGTGAGAGTCAAACAAATCGATTTGAGAGTCAGTCTATCGCCAAAAAAATCGAAAAAGGCGCGATCCGCAGTCGATAAACGAAACGATAACAAACATATATGCTAAATAACGAAAGCGAAAAACGCGCAATGAAATGCGTATTGTTGTTCTAAAAACCTAGGGCATCAGTGAGTCCCGAACAAACCGTAAACCAAAAACCGCAAACGAGTCGACGAATCGCCAGAACTAATCCAAAATGCATATATAACTATTATCTCTCTCTTTCTCTTTCTTCTATATCTCTCTTTTTTAGTTCTCGTAAGCGTTTTTCTCCTTTTAAGTTTGTTCCGCCATAAGTACATAAGTTTTCGAAAATCGAATTCGAAATCGAAATCGATCATCGGGTATTTGAGATCGAGAGAGAGATGACCGATTAGATAACTCCACTACTACTACTCTACTACCAATCTACTACTACTACTACTACCAACCAATCAGCCACAAAAACAGCCCAATGCCCAACCAAGTACATCGACATTAATCCGCTTCTAACCAACAAAGAGCCACCACGTCGGAGGACTGATACTGATCCGGGTTCCGAGATTCTGATTCTGGCTCCGGTCCTGTCCTGGTTGCATTTACCATTTAAGTACCAATGATTTTGTGTTTTGTCTTAGCTAGTGAAGAACCAACAGTCCGTCCTGTCATTTGTCTGTTTTTAGCTAAAATGGGGTATTAAACATTGAATTATTCTTTAGTTATTCAAAAGATCTTACCGATCACCTTCCTTTCAAAGTAATCCCATACATTTTGGATCTTTGGATCCCAAGTTCTGCTCCCTGCGAGCCCTAAAACATTAAGCGTAGTTAACAGCCTTTTTTACGTAGGTAGGGCGGTGGAGAACCTAACCAACTTAAACATATTGTTGCTCTTATTATCGTTTCAGCGTCTTGTTTTCTTTTTTTTATTTTTCTCTTTTTATCACTGAGCAATGTAAAATGTGTGTGACCCTTCTTCAAGTCAGTTACCACGCCCCCAACTCATGGAAATCGAATACGAAAACGAATACGAATACGAAAACCGCACCTAAGGTTGCTTATAATTTCTAATTTTTATAAACTACTCGCCCGAGCTGAGCACACGCGAGGAGTTTGGCTTGGTAAATCCCTGATGATATGATATATTTTGTTGCGTTTGTCTTCTGGAGGGGATTCCCCGGATATCCTGCTGTGTGCCCAGTTCGCCTTGGTCGATCGCACATAATCGGATGTGTGTGTGATTTTGATTTGATATGCATTACACATTACTCTCGAAACAACACATTACCTCCTGTATTTTATATTATATATAATAACCACACTGCATCACACATACACACTACGTATATCAATCAATTTGCCTATCGATAAGCGAATATGTTTTATTTGACGGGAGCTTTCTCTTTTTATTCTTGCATTTTTCCAGCCTTGACAAATAAATGACAAAAACTCAAGCCCCTCTGCATAAACGATAGAAACTCATAGAAAGACTCTCTCATCCAACGTGAAAGCATATTAACCTTAAGTATCCAATAATCAATGATCCAAAACAATCGTTATCGATCGATTAATTTCCGCGATCCACTCGAGGAGCCACCTCTATATGATTAACAATTTGTTTTCTTATTTTTTCTTTTTTGTCTTCATCTTTCTTGCAGGCAGCAGGCAGTTTTTGTCTTTATTTAAGCGGTTTCAAAACGCAATCTCTTGATTGTCAATTTATCTGTGTCCCAGAAAAGACAGAATGAAAAAACAAGTCAAATCGAGTCCCAAACAAATTGCATAGCTGATGATCAACTGAAAATGAAACTGAAAACCCCCCATTCCCAGTATGAGATGCACTAATCCCTCTTCCCAATTCTAGGCAAGTCCACGGATTCGAAAATTCCCTACCTTTCGCAGCCCCTGTACGACCTCAAGCAGACGGGCGATGTCAAATTTGGTCCGGGCACCCGATCAGCGCTCCTCGGTCTTCTGGGCGGCGCCCTGCCCAAGCTCTCATCGGAGCAGCACGATCTGGTCAGCAAGGCCAAGAAGTACGCCATGGAGCAGAGCATCAAGATGGTGCTGATGAAGCAGACCTTGGCCCACCAGCAGCAACAGTTGGCCACTCAGAGGACGCAGGTTCAGCGACAACAGGCTTTGGCACTCATGTGCAGGTGAGTTCAGGGGTTTTTGATTTAGGGCTTGGAAAAATATCGACATTTTTCTATTTCTCGATATTTAATTTGAGTTTTTTCTTTAAAACATCAATATTATCGTATCAATATCGAAAATATTGTCAAAATATCAAAAATATTTAATCAATATTGTCAAAATATCGATAATATCGAATCAATTTTTACAAAATATCGAAAATATTGAATCAATAGTGACAAATATCGAAACTATCGATTAAATATTGATAAATTATCGAACATATCAAATCAACATGGTCGAAATATCGGAAATATCGATCATTTTTAAGCTCTATTCTAAAGTATTTTGTGCCAAACTGGATGATGCATAAATCTATAATGTATGTGGCGAAGATTGGCTACCCCGACTGCAGCTTCGAGTTACTGAAGGCAGTCGCTGGGTTTTCAATCGCTGTGCTTTCTTAGCTGATAAGATCTGACTCCAAAAACTAATAACTTTCATTTCCACCACTATAAAAACTGTATAAACTAATAACCTTTCCCTTCTTGCAGAGTCTATGTGGGCAGCATTTCGTTTGAACTCAAAGAGGACACCATCCGCGTGGCCTTCACACCCTTTGGTCCCATCAAATCCATCAACATGTCCTGGGATCCCATCACGCAGAAGCACAAGGGTTTCGCCTTTGTGGAGTACGAGATACCCGAGGGCGCCCAGTTGGCGCTGGAGCAGATGAATGGCGCTCTGATGGGCGGCAGGAACATCAAGGTGGGACGTCCGAGTAATATGCCACAGGCCCAGCAGGTCATCGATGAGGTGCAGGAGGAGGCCAAGAGCTTCAACCGCATCTACGTGGCCTCCATCCATCCCGATCTCTCGGAGGAGGACATCAAGAGCGTCTTCGAGGCCTTCGGGCCCATTCTCTACTGCAAACTGGCCCAGGGCACCTCACTGCACACGCACAAGGGCTATGGGTTTATCGAGTATGCCAACAAACAGGCCATGGACGAGGCCATAGCCAGCATGAATCTCTTTGATCTGGGTGGTCAGCTACTGAGGTAAGTGTATGAATTGATTCAATGAATGAATTAATTAGAATTTTGAGTTTAATAGAAGAGAATGAATTTGAATTTTGAGTCTAATAGAAGCGAATGAATTAGAATTTTCAGTTTAATAGAATTGAATGAATTTTTATTTTGAGTTTAATCGAATGAATGAATGGCATGAATTCCGAAATAATTCAAGCGACAATTTCTTTTGAGGAAGAAAGGGCCATCATTTTGTGGTTAAATCTGCCTTAATTTTATTTACTATGCAGTTAACATTAATTTGTTAAAAAATGTTCACTTTTTGTACTCAAAAGAAAGCGCAAAAAAATTCTGGCAAATTCCAAAAATTCATAAACATTATTCATTCATTAAATTTGAAATGAATTAGAAAAACATTTAATTTATTTCACATAGAATTGAATTAAACAAATCAGAAATTTCATGGCATACACAGAAAATAAAGATCAAGAAATTTAATGATCAAGTTATTCATATCATTTTCAAATGAATAAAGATTATTTTAATCTTTTTTTATATTATTTGCTCAAAAAATACTACATTTGGTATTTTTTATGATATGATAAAATATCATGTTGATATGTTTGAATGTTAAATTTGACATAAATTATATCGGTTTTTTATTGATATGAAATAAGATAGAAATAACCCTATTTCATATCGTTTTTTTTTGTTCTAGTGTAAATTAGACTTTAAAGAGTAAAATCTAAATCTAATCACTATATTCTTTACAGAGTGGGTCGCTCGATTACGCCGCCGAATGCTTTGGCCTGTCCGACCACAAACTCCACAATGCCCACGGCTGCCGCGGTGGCTGCAGCAGCGGCAACGGCTAAGATTCAAGCTCTGGATGCGGTGGCCAGCAATGCGGTGCTGGGATTGTCGCAAAACACACCTGTTATGGCCGCCGGAGCGGTGGTTACCAAAGTGGGTGCCATGCCAGTGGTTTCGGCAGCCACATCGGCGGCTGCACTGCATCCTGCTTTGGCTCAGGCGGCACCTGCCCTTCTTCCGCCCGGCATTTTCCAGGCTCCCTCGCCCGTGGCGCCCAGTTTGCTGGGTGTTCCCGCCGGACTGCAGCCTCTTCAGGCGGTGGTGCCCACTCTTCCGCCTCCCGCCCTCCTGGCCACGCCCACGCTGCCCATGACTGTCGTCGGTGGTCCACTAGTGCCCACTGTGGCCACTTTAACCGGCGTGGAGACCAGCAATGGAGCAGCAGCTGCTGCTCTCTCGGCCGCTGCGAATAATGCCGCTGTGACGGCAGCAAATCTGTCGGAGAACATCAAGAAGGCCCACGAGAAGCAGCAGGAGGAGCTGCAGAAGAAGCTGATGGACGAGGGCGATGTGCAGACGCTGCAGCAGCAGGAGAACATGTCCATCAAGGGCCAGAGCGCCAGGCAGTTGGTGATGCAGCGGCTCATGCGACCCGTGGACTCGAGGGTAATCATTCTGCGAAATATGGTCGGTCCCGAGGATGTGGACGAAACGCTGCAGGAGGAGATCCAGGAGGAGTGCAGTAAATTCGGCACAGTCAGCCGGGTGATCATCTTCAACGAGAAGCAGACGGAGAACGAGGACGACGACGAGGCGGAGATTATCGTTAAGATCTTTGTGGAGTTCTCGGCCGGAGCGGAGGCCATGCGAGGAAAGGAGGCACTCGATGGAAGGTTCTTCGGCGGCCGGAGAGTCGTCGCCGAGCTCTACGATCAGGGGATTTTTGATCAGGGAGATCTATCCGGTTAGAAGGAGGATTTGAGATGATCCCCATCTTTGTTCTGTCATTTTTTACGTAGCACCTAAAAACGCAAAACGATACAAGTTTATTTATTACGCCAGTCCCGGAAACAACCGACCATTGTTGAGCGGCGCGGCAGCCAGATTACAATTATGATTATGATGATGATGATGAGATGATGATTATTCTGCAACGCAGTGATTTAGATTTAAAAACCGAGAGATCCCCGTAGCGAGGACAGCAATGTTCAGTGTTTTTGTATTATTGCTTGCCCTCGAAACACAGAGAACCACAAATGGAAGCCCCAAAAAGCACACAACGGCCGACTAACAACGTGTACATTTACATTTGATTAATTTCAGCGCTTAACTTACAAAATAAATAATAGTTTCCCATTAAAACTAGTGTTTTTGTTAGGTTTGGGTTAAATATTAAGGAACAGAGGATGGCAATCAGGCAAGAAATGTCATTCTAGCACTTTATATTTCTGATTAGGATGGAAAATGGATATATAAACCATTAATATTAATTTTTTAAGATAGAAATGGAAATTTTAAACAAACATTTAAATTTTGGCGCCAAAAAAAAAGCTTTTGAATAATTTTTATTTCTCATGTACTTATATTTTTATGTTTTATGTATTTTGTTACAACAAATTTCACTTTCTTTAAAAAAAAGCTTTTTTTAATTATTTTAAAATTAAAAAACTTAAATTCTTACACATCACTAGCTCACGCGATTAATAAACTATCGATAGGCAGAGGAATTTTGAAGGTACTTTTCACCGTTACGGCAGTTTTGCCATCTGGGCATACTAATGTGACAAAGAAAATCAAAATAATGAAGTGATTTCCATACGAAAAACGCGAAATAGCAGAAAAACAAATAGCATTTGGTGGCGCTCGAGTGCCGCGGCTAACGGTAAAACGCAGCGCAAACGCGGAAAAAACGCTCGCAACTCGCGAAAGTAGCTGGCAAAATCAAACTAAGACAGCAGCACCAGTGGCAAAACCAAAACCAAAAGCAAAGACAAACGCAAAAGCAGCGAGGGATTTTTGGAGGCTGCTTTTTTTGGGGCGACATTAAGAAATAAAAGGTACAGAAAGCGTGGGGATCTACGGATTCGAAAGGGGATTCTAATGGTTTTGGGGTAAAAATATCCAGACAGCTGTTTGTCGCCCTTTGGAGTTTCGTATTATTCAGGTTTTTCCGTTTTGTCTAGTCGCCCAGATAAGCCAGACAGACTGACGCTTTTTATTGTGTTTTTTGAGCTTTTTTTGTTTTATTTCTTTCTTTTTTTTCTTCAACTAACTACGCACCCACACACATGCAAACATTTTGTTTGTTGGCATTTTTTATTGTACATATTTGTGATAGGCTGATATATGTATGTTTGTGATCCGACTTTTCTGTGCATATACACACGATATAGATTTACACTTTGTTTTGGTCTTCGAAGGAGATTTTCCTGGGATTATAATCCCTTTATTCCTATTTCACCTGGGCAATTAGATGACCCTTGGTTATGTAACGCTTTATAATGGCTATCGGAACCCAAGAAAACAGATTAAAACCACAAAGGCACGTGCCTTTTGTTTGAAAGTCTGGGCAAGATTGGCTAGTCACCAAGGGGAACTCATATTTATAAGGTCAAGCCACTTCCCTTTCCCGAAAAATGATTAGTAAGAAAAAGGTCTAACAAAAAAACCTTAGAAAACTTGTTTAAACAAACACTTTTCTCTAAACATAACAGAAAATTCCAATAGTAATGCTTTCTCTTACCAAAACAATAAATAATAATGTTTTTAATCTTAAATAGAGCTGATTTCTATTAAAGATCAAGTCATTTCCTAAGTGACTTGCACTCTCTAAATGGGATTAGAAAGAAATGTGTTTTACTCTTAAAAATTCACTTCAATTTAATAGTTTAAAAAAAATAATCTACTCGCATTTTCTTATAAGAACGTTAGTTTAATAGTTTTTTTCTTATTAGATCGACTTAGAATCGATTTCACTTAAAGGTCAATCTACTTTCCAATTGACAAACAAATTAGAACGTTATAAATTGCTTTATTTGACTCAGTATATAAGAAAAATTTTATTACAAAGCAATTTTAAATTGTCATCTTAAAGGTAAAAGTAATTTTCATTCATGTTTTTAATTTAATTCAAAGTATCAGAGCACTTTTCACACCCACATGACTTGCAATCTCAAAAGTGGGGCCGTAAAACAATTTATAATCAAACACTAGAACTCAGTAAACAATTAAGTTTATATATTTTTTATGATTAACATAAAACCCACATATATCACTCTAGCAAGGTAATAATAATTAGATTACCCATATACCATTTATACTCACAAGTAATTTTAGTAAAAGTCTGTCTTGAATAGTTTTGATGTTCTATAGTTTTTTGATAGGAAACCTGTTTTCAATTAAATCTCATTATCAACTATTCACCATTTCTATAATAATCTTGATATGATGTCATCATATTGTGGTTTTAAATGGAAAATATAATAATATAGGTATTTCCAATAGGAAAGCATAATATTTTATTAGTCACATTGTGAAATATTATCACCAGAACAATCGTATAAAATGATGTTCAATTCAGAAAAGTCACTGGTATAATTTATAGTTTCCTAGTGAAATATGACAATAAGTACTTTGGATTTGGGACATTAGTAGGTAGCTTTTATTTCAGGCGCTGATGAAATATGTAGCTTAGGGCAAATACCCAATCACACGCCGTAAGACAAATAAAAAACTCCAGATGAATCATGACTCCAACTTTACCATTTATTTTCCAGACAACAGAGGCACCATTAAGGCACCACTGGCGGAGCACAGGAACTGCGGCCCCAAAATGAGCTGCAAGGTGCGGCTGATGGAGGATGGCTCGCTGGACGAGGAGCCGCTGACCCTCAAGGAGATTGCCTACCAGAAGCTGTGCAATAACCTGGACATCATCAGCAGTCACCGCCCCGATGGCCAACGTGGCCTCAATCCAGGCATCGTGCTGCCCAACGAGATCTGCGATGGTTTTCTGGAGAACTACCAGCGCTTCAATCGCCCCCTGGACGACAGCGTCATCCGCCTCTTCGAGGACACACAGCGCACTTCGCTCAAGATCGTCAATCTGCGCAACAGCACACTGAGCAGCATAGGTGAGCGATGGATACCCTGCATCCGGTGTTGTATAATTCCATTGAATATTTAGTAATTGAACAGAATTCACTCGGATATCATGATGTCTTTTGTGTTCATGTAACAGAAATTTAAATATCTGAAACCTTATCCCAAGAGATTTATTCCAAACCTCATACAAGTTTCTCTGAAACCTTCAAAATAATCAATTGGGAAGTGGACTCAATATGTAAATTTATGTAGATCTCAAAGTTTTTCTAGATTTAAAGTCTAGAACGAGAGAAAAATCCATTTGGTTGTACGTTTAAAAACAATCTATAAAGCTTACCCTTGTTAAATTTACCAGAAATTTGAAAGAATGTTTATAAAGTAATTTTTTATCTTGCTCTACTTTTTACTTACTAAAGTAATTTCTTAACTTCTTAATAAATGTAAAAAATCCTGATGTCTTTTGTGACCATCTAACAAAAAAATTAAATATCTGAAACCTTATCTCAAACAATTTATTCCAAACCTTATACAAGCTTCTGTGGAATCTTCAAAATAATCAATTGAGAAGTGGGCTCTAAATGTAAATATATGTAGATCTCAAAGTACATAGCGTTTTTCTAGATTTTAAAGTCTAGAATGATAGAAAAAGTCCATTTAAAAACAATCTATAAAGCCCGCCCTTGATAAATGTACCAGAAATCTGAAAGAATGTTTATAAAGTAATTTTCCTATCCCTTTCTTCTAATTAATTAAGAAAATTTTTTAAATATTAAATTCCAGTCTTTTAAGAGTGTTAAAAAATGCATAAAATCCCTATAAATCTAAAACATTTTATCCCACTTTATTAAACAACAATTTTTATAATTTCCAGGCCTGGAGACCCTGATGCGCCACAAGCTATTCGCCCTGTCCATGTGGTATTGCGACATGATAACCGTGGGCTCTCACCACCTACTCGCCCACTACGGCGACAGTCTGCGATCCCTGGAGCTGGGAATCAGTTCGCATCTGCTGCAGTATGCGGAGCCCAACGAAAAGGAGCCGGTGGACTTCCAGCTGACCTGTCCCCACCTGCGGCGCCTGGTGCTCAACGGCGTGGTGATGCACCATCGGCTGCAGTTCGCCCATCTGCACGATCTGGGCCATCTGGATCTGACCTCCTGCGTGCTGGCCAACTTCAGCCTGGAGGCTTTGGGCTCGCTGCCCAATCTGCACACTCTCATCCTGTTCAATGTGTGGCCCATTGCCAATCAGCTGCATGCCATCTGCTGTTTGCGGCGTCTCTGCACATTGGATATATCCATTTCGAGTTCGGGAAATGGCCATGGAACCTACGATTTGCCCGATCAAACGCTTGAGATGCTGATGGACAATCTGCGGCATCTCACACACTTGGATATCTCGGGCACGAATTTGGCGGGCAACGGGGTGGCCACCAAGGAGTCGACGAGTACCAGCGCCACGCAGGTTAGCACCAAAATGGAGCAGCCCTTTGCCCTTACCGACATCCCGGGATTGGCGTCGCGCACCCAGCGACCGCTGCAGTTCCTCGGACTCTATCACACGGCCCACTGGGCATGCAAAAGACACGATATCCCGGCTCTAGAAGTGGCCGGCGATGCCAACGAGCAGCAGATTCTCACCGCAGCTCGCTATTATCACGACAGACCAGTGCTTTTGACAAGGGTGAGGATGGGTTTTTGCTTGCTTTAGGTGATTTTAATATATATCATCTCCTTTATTAGGTACTCAACGATCTGTACCATCTCTTCCGCTTCGAGAACTGCAAGGACATACACACCGCACTGGATGTTGTGCTCTCCGCCATGGATCGGCATCTCAAGTTCAAGCACATGCAAATCTCCGGCAGGTGGGACTTGATAATCCAGCTAATCAAGACCTTTTTTAATATAAATATTCCTCATTTTAGTGCCACACTGTTCTACATTGTCAAGGGCAGGGATCGCTCCAAGTTTGGCACTCTGCTGCGCAACCACATCATTCGCACGCTGCTGAATGGCATGGAGATGCATCTCACCGACGACACCATGCTACGCAATGGTTACCTCACGCTCACCCAGTTTCACATGCCAGTCGATGTGGTAAGCTAGGGATTATATGATATTCAATGGAAAGAAGCTAACGCTCCTGACTTCACAGCTCTTCGAGTACGAGCGTCTCATCAAGGTCTTGCTGCACGGCGTTTCCAAGACGGAACAGGAGGGCTTTGTCCAGCGCATAGCCATCTATCTGCTAAA